CTGTCTACTGTGATGGCATGGCCTCTTACTCACAGGTTACTCAGTTACTCAGACTGCAAATCATATGCTTAATTATCTCATTGGGGCTTTCTTCTGAGTAGGCATATATAAGATTAGACTATCAGTGTCCATGTGTCTGTGAAATGAGCTGTGAATCTCAGAAGGACATGTTATTAGAGGCATACCTACCAGGGACACAGGCCCAGTGGGGCAGGGGCACAACAATCACCCCAGAAATCTGTCTCCAGTTATCTGTGTAAGGTTGTGAGTTTAGACAAGAGCTGGGAGCTGAGCGGCAGGAGAAATGGCAAGGGTGGTATGAAAGCAGACTACTGGAGACTATGGAGTTTATGACATGTGTGTGTGACAACAAGCTGCTGCTGTCACAGTGAGATCAAACACATGGGAAACTCCCTGTCCTGCTCGCACCGTGGCCCTTTCTCCTTGCCTCGTCCTTGCTTTAGATTCTTTGAGTACTTGTAATTTCTAATGTGGCTATTTGCAATGAAGTGGTTTTTTTGAGGGGGCGCCTTGTCAGCTCCTTGTCAGGGGTTCAGGGGACCCTAGGTACACCTCTACATGTTATCTCAGAATGTACTTACAGTTCCCACAAAGCTGTAAATTCCCTGAGAATTCTCCTTGCACTGCTTCTAGGCTTGCAGCTCCAATTTCATTCAGACCCCAGGAAATGCAAAAATATGCAGCTTTCCCAAGTAACCAGAATATTTTATAACCTTGAGCGTAGGTCAACTGAAGTTCAGTTCTAAAAACAGTGAGCTACTCTGAGGAGGTTCAGTGATCTGAACAGTTCCTTATTTCTCTCTAGGTAGCAGACTGTGTTTGGTACTGCTAGACCATACTTACACAAGAGGGGTGATACACAGTTGGACAACTCAGTGGGGGAGGGGGGAACCTCAGGACTTATTTTATGGATCACTTGTAATAATTGGGGTGAGTGTTTGCAGTTATGAAATTCAATAAATCTTTCTTTGTGGAATAGGACTGCAGATCCATTCTTCTCTATTATACTGTTAAAATTGGCATTTATTTATTTAAGAAAGTTATATATCACTTAAGCATTCAGATTTCTAAGTGTTCTACACAGAAACATTCCACAGAATATGGGAGGGGGGTAACACAATAAAATATATTTTAAAAAACCCTGAACACTACATCAAAAAGCCTGCTGAAACAAGAAAGTCTTAGTCATGCACTTGAACTTCAGCAAAGTAGGTGCCTGTCTCTAATCTCATTTGGGAGGGATCAAAAGACTGTGGCTCAAAATGGTATTTTTATGAACAAACCTGAGGCTATTTGGGCACAGTGGGTGAACCATCTGTGATACCAAGGATGGGAGGAGGGACAGAGCAAGGGATACAATACAAGCATCTATAAATTCTCCTCCCACTACCCCTTCTAGCCATGCCTTTTTCTTGCCCCGATCACTGGGTTAACTGATATCCATGGACCCTTCTCATCTGGTCTCCTTCCCAAACAAATATTTAATCACTCCCTACCACAACACACAACACTCTAGGCTTTTAACGGGTGATGACTCACAGAAACACAGGGACAGCCGAAATCATACAATATATGTATATATATAAGCATCTCCCCTCATCCCTGTGTTCCTTACCAGGATATGTTTGCCCCTTAGGTTGTTTATGGCTTAGTTTACTTTGGCCAGTTCAAACATGAATAAATTTATTCTGCCTCACTAAATGCCTCTCCACTGCAATACTAAGGTTTGCATTGTTTATCAGTGTAAACAAGGCCCAGGATAGTAAACAGAGGTGATAATTGCCTAAACATCTGAGGCCCAAGAAAAAGGTTTGCGTGCACAAAATAATTAATCTGTTTTAATCGGAAACTTTCTGTCTCTAACTACAACAGAGTATTAAAAGAGGCATTTGAGTTAAGAGGAAAAGGTATAAGTCACGTGTGTTGAACAGCATGATGAGAGATTCTAGATACCACATGTTAATTAACAAGAAAACACTGTGTATTCTCACTAAAGTTATTAATTCATATTTCTAACAAAAGGAAATATGTGTGGCCTTTCTCCAAATGTGGCAATTTGCTACCTGGAAGTTTAAATGAATCTTTATTGGGGATCCATCAAGTTCAGAAATACATATTGTCAGCAGAGATGGGCCACACATCTAATTCTGTTCAGATATGATAGTATTGGGAAAACAAAAGATTGCTCTCAACATTTTGGTCAGCCTCACTTCTTGCATATCTCATGGACCTAGATGTGTTGTATATAGGAAAACATAAGGCTATAGGGCACAGAAAATTACAGAAATAGAGCAACATGAGACTTGCGGGTTTTTTCTGGACTTTTTTTTTTTACATCATGCTTTGACTCAGAATCACAATGCTTCATCTTGTTGGATTTCCCAAATTTCTACATAACTGTTAAAAACTTAATACAACCTTTCCCAAGTTTGATTATCAATACTTCATTATAGGTCTACCTATCCCATGTCTGCCCTCCCGCAGCATTCAGTTGTAGCAGAGATGCCCTTTCACTTCTTCATAGGGTTTTCTTAGGTTTTTGTTATGAATATTGATGTTTCCAGTGTGGAAAAGGAATGGAGTAAAAGAACAAAAATCTGCTTTAGATCTCCAGTGTCTGCTGTCTGCCTACCTGCTTTTATCAGTTCTGTCGGGTAGAGAATTATCATTGCCAAGGCAATTCTGTAAGGTAATGAATTTACTTTTATACTACACTTGCTGGTGTTGCTTGGTTTCATATTTGAAAATCTATTTCAGGCTTTACCTTGTTACATGAAAAATGTACAGTTCAATTTTCATTTTGTTTTCTAATGTCAGAGATGCTGCCGTAAAAGCAGAAAAGCAAACACAGAGATTGTGTATGTTCACTATAGTAATGCGCTCTTTTCCTCAAAGAACCTTAGAGCGATATTTTTTTTGTCTGTATACTCTAGTCAGTCAATTTCTTTGCCTATAAAAAGGATACACATTTATTGATACAATACTCAGAATTGAGTTCTTTGAAATGAGCTTATTAAACATTCTCCTCCATATTTATGTACAGATAATACAGCCAGAAAAAATGTTGATCCAACCTTCCTTCATTTGTGCTAGAGATTAATATGAAGCCAATGGAGTTACTCTATTATAAATCTGATTGGAAATTAGAATCACATATGATAGCTCAAGAATGACAAATTTAAGAGAAAAAGTCCCACACACTAAATAACAGAAACTGGAAACTGTGACGTATGTATGGCAATTTTTCTATCTCAAGGTGACTTTTCAACAATTGTGCAGAATCTTTTCTTGTTAAGGAGTCCACAAGATATTCAAATCATGTCTCTCTCTACAGTGTGCCACTAAAAGCCTAAGGGTGGAGAGGAATTCGGTCCGGTTCACATTTTAATGTGAATTTATCTAATCCTCATTTCCTGAACCAATAGGGAAACCAAAATGCAAAATGTTCCCTAACCAAAAAACATGCAGGGAAATGCATATATTAGTGAAAATGTTATACAAAAATAATAATAATAAATAATAATAAATTTTATTTATACCCTGCCCTCCCCAGCCGAAGCCGGGCTCAGGGCGGCTAACAACACTAAAATAGTGCAACATTCTAAAAACATTATAATAATTAATTAAAATCAAAATTGATGGCAACCATAAACTAAAGTCCTGTAAAGATTGCCAAAGGAGGGAGTCAGGCTGCGCCCTGACCAAAGGCCTGGTGGAACAGCTCTGTCTTGCAGGCCCTGCGGAAAGATGTCAAGTCCTGCAGGGCCCTTGTCTCTTGTGACAGAGTGTTCCACCAGGTTGGAGCCGCAGCCAAAAACTCCCTGGCTCTAGTTGAGGCCAGCCTAACCTCTCTGTGGCCTGGGACCTTCAAGATGTTTTTATTTGAAGACCATAAGTTCCTCTGTGGGGCATACCAATAAAATGATTATTTATAGGATCATTTCAGTGTACATTAAGTATGTTAAGTAAAAGTGCACACAGCAAGTTGTATATTAGGATAAATGAATGCCAGTTTTCATCAAGACTTTTCTTTTTTTTAATCCAACTTGATTCAGAAGCATGACAAAATGAAAAACAGAAACTGAGAGACACCAAACTTTACAGATTAACCCATCTACACTAGGGTGAAAAAGAAAGTCGACTCTGGAGACTGTTGTGTCTGAACAAGATAGTGTCCAACAGTGCTATTTTTCTAGAAAGAGAGGTGCCAGAATTGAAAGCCTCTCTTCTTTTGACAATGACAATGACGCCCACCTGAGAGGTGTCAGAAGTGAGTTCCGGCAAGTTCTGGCTGAAAAAAAGCCCTGGTGCCCAAGCACACTATCTGGTTCCATCCAGATTTGTGCCTTGGTGAGTGCCTGCAAGTCACCACCTGATGATGGTGTCAAAATAGGGAACACAGTCAATTCACTGATTCAGAGGTGGGGAGATTGTCAAATGGCTCACTTTAGACCGTGTTTCCATACAGTTTTAAATTGTAGCAGATCTCCTCATTGCAATGAATGTTAATGAGCAATGAGTCCCATGCCCAGATGTGGATGCAAATAGCAGTCTTGTTTAGCACGTGTTGACATTTCATGCTTCTGGACACCCTGAGGACTAGAATCTGTCAGATAAACGCCAAACTAAACCACAGACCCAGTCTGACACATACCAGATAGCTAAGAGTTCATCCTCCTTTGATTTGGCTATGGCTGTTTACACACATCTGCTGAGTAGGTTTGCTAAAATGCAAAAGCATTTACTTGTCTTCCAGGACTTATATAGGAGTGTGCCAAAACTTTAGTGTTCTCCTCCATTTTCATGAATTGAGCAGTGAGCAGATAGTTGGAAGAGCAGCGTATAATCAGCCACTTGGGTGCGGATTGCCACACACAAGCACAATCACTCCCCCCACCCCACCTAACAGAAATGCATGGCAGCATTTTCCTGGTAAGAAACCCTGCTCTGATAGAATAATCACAATTCCCCATCCCACTTCAGCCTGACGGGAGCATGACATCCTTCTCCAGATCATTCACACTGCGGTACTTGTGGTTCCAGATGCGCTCCTTTATTTTCTTGAAGTCGACTGGTTTGCGGATGAGTTCATTGTACTCTGGAAGCTCCTTCCGAGAATGAAGACTTCACTAAGCTGGCATCCACTACATCCTGCCACACGGGTCCACCACAGCTTCCACAGTCCTGCAGTACATGGTGGCCAGGGAAGACAGAAGTGGTGGTGGTCAAGTGTGAAGCCATTCTGTAATGGTGGCGGGTGAAGTACAGGGCTGGTTTGGGATCCAACCGGAGGTTGATGGAAGCCAGCAGGGCTGCTTGCAGCAATACCTCCTCCCAATCCAAGCCCCAGAGTGTTTGGTTTGCTCTGCCATACATCAAGCAGCCCACAAAATCTTCCACACTCTTCCTAGTTTAGACAATCCTGTACCAGTGTATAATGCATTTTAATTATAGGCACACTGGGGACAAGCATTAACAGCTTGCTTTGTATCATTCTGCGTTATGGCTTATCCCCCTCTGACACAATATTTGGTTAGCTTGCGTGATATTTAATTACCTCCTAGAGTGTGGAGCAAAGCCGCAGAGTGCCTCTTGTTTTTTTGGCACTCACTTTTTACTTTTCCAGCATCGTTCGCGTGCCCTCGCTGTTCAGAGTCCCTTTCCGATTGAGAGACAGTTCCCAGCAGGTGTCATTGATGCAACACTGTCATATCATCAACTGGGACAAGACGAGTGGAGAGGTTTTCTTCCCCCTCAAAAGATCTTTGGGAGTTGTCCATGAAGTTCTGCTTCCTCCCTCCCTTAACTAATCGTTCATATACTTGGGAGACAGCAGGCTGCTGAGATTGTGAAATAAATAAGTGCTGGTGATCAACTTGGAGCAACAGCACAACAGGGTTATTTGCTTTCTCACATTGCAATCCGAGCTGCGCTTGAGTTTCAGTAACATATATTAAGCTTCATTCCTTATGCAAAAGAGGTAACAAAACCCAAAGAATCATTGACTCTTCACGCATTATCTTTATAGGCTACATCCTCTTGATCCTTTATAGACCACATCCTTAAACTGAGGCTCTGTAGTGTGAGTTTGGCTCACCCTACTCCAGTAAATAGGAGCTGTCACTGACAGGAGATAGCAAGGACTGAGCTGAGGACCTTTTGCCTGCAAAGTTGGTGCTCTGCCACTGAGATACAGAAAAGTTGGGCTACATAGGCACAGCTCATGCTATAATTCCCCCTCTCACAAGTGTTGATCCACTTCCTGGGATAAGCAATGCTGTTATGGGGAAGAATAACATTGCAGGTTCCTCCAAATGGTGCATATCCTCTTATCATAACCAGAATAATGCAAAAAGACCACACACTGCAGCAGTTTCTATAGGGACGTAGGAAGCTGCTTCCTACTGAGTCGGACCAGTAAAGCATCTAGTTCAGACCATATTGTCTACACTGACTTGCAGACAGTGGTGGCTGGTGGCCACTAAGCCTAGCAGGGAGGAAGGCAGGGAGACCAACCGTAGGAGGAGCCCGAACCATTGACAAGCAGGGCCAACTAATTTGATTTTCTCCTGCTTCTCCTCCTGGCTGAGTTCTACAAGGATAACCCTGAAACTAAGGTGGAAGAAGTTGATAGTCAGTTCCACTTCCTGTACTTGTTGAAAGTAGAAAAACAGGTGGGGGGCGGGGCGTTGGCTGAATGGGATACTGCCTCATTTGCCCAAATGAACCAGCAGGTCTTAAGGTTTTCATACAGCCCTATCTGGATATTCCATACTCTGCAAGTGTCCGGGGCGGGGGGAGGAACAAACATCCTCCCCCCCCCCGCCCCCTGTGAGATCCTGACATTTTGGTCACCATGATCTCATGCGATTTTGCACCGAGATCTCACTCTGAATAAATTGCCTTTTTCAGGGACGCGATCTTGTGCGGCACCACAAAACATGCAGTTTTTGTTGTTGCTGTGAGACCATGGCTCCAAAAGAGCACTTCTTTTGAGCTCCATGATTTGGCTTCTTGACTGTTACTGAGGAGAGCTGTGTAAATCTCTTTAAGAAGACTGAATGAAAGATCCTACTACCGTCAACCTTTTAGCTGTCCTTCAACGTAGATATTCCTCCTGTTCGTGAAAAGAAAGGTTCCATATGTCAGAAAATGGAAAAGCTATGAGTCAGAATCAATGCTGCCTATTTTACCCATATAATTTCCAATCCACAGCTGCTTCAACTTGAAGCCAAAGAAGTAATATTGCCTACTAGGGAAAGGGGAACGTATTTGTACTGAGGGATATATTCTTCCTTGATGTGGGTGGTGGATGTGGCCCACACCAATGCACACTCTAACATGTACACACAGATTGCACCTATAGAGGCACACAGCTGATCTGAGAAGCAATTTGCCCATCCATTGGGAATGGGCTATCTCAAAGCTGTGTTCTTATTTTCTTTTCTTTTTGGCACTGCCATGACAACAGTGGGGCAGCAACATTTGCTTGGGAGCTAGATGAGGTTAGGTCCCCTCCGCCCCCCGATATAGATGCATACCTTAAACAAAGCCTGAGCCAGACAGACAGTGCCTAGGCTTTAAAAAAAAGATGAGCTTCGATAAACCAAAGGGAATTTCAAGAGACCACTTGTTTGCAGTGCCTTTAAAAATGTTGAACATATGGTCCAAACAGAAGTACAAACATGTCATGCGTGTTGTCTTTAAAAAAAAACTTTTGTCAGCTCTCATTGCATTATGGAGTGCTACACTGTAGAATACATTTTACAGCACATTTTAACAGCACTGTTTGTATACCACTTTAAAATTAGAGACATGAACTACAGCGATCCAACGCGGCCGTTCTTACCCATATAGTTGCATATGAAATCCAGAGGAATAATTCCATTTTCAGTTCCATTTTCCCAGTCTGAAGAAGCAGGTATTTAGGGTGGAGGACATTGGCCACATCCAAATTCACATCTAACCACACATTCACTTTTGTTTTTGCTTGGCCAAACAGTGGTCATACTATAAAAGGGGGAGCTTGTTCACATAGGAGGTATACTTCCCCCATGTCCAGTTGCCTCTAGTAATTGCTGCCAGAGTTGTGTCTGGGTCATGTTAGCATAAAGGAACCCCATAATGAAGACACAAGACTATAGGCCAGAACCTGATTAATTCACATGTCTGATTTGCAGCACCCTTAACTCAATAAATGTTAGCTTCCTTTAAGTTCAGCATGTATCTTTCAATCAAGCTGTGCAATAAGAACAAATATCTCTTGCTGCCACATTATTCAGGGGATCCCTCCCCCTGGGGCACAGCATCAAGTAAATTAACTGAACCGCTCATCCCTGCCAACACACTTTTAAGTTGTGTTGACAAACTTCTGTCAGCATTGTAAGTCTATTACGTGGCAAGATTCTAGGATGGTGGGCCAGTCAGGGTCCGGGGGGGGGGGGCTCACAGTTCCCACCTTTCTTAAGAGAGGAATCTGGATAATCTTATTTATTGAATGTTAATTTTTTAGGTTCATGCAAAAAAGGCCTTCAAAATTAAAAACAACAACAACTATCCCCCATGAAAAAAACATTTTAGTACCAATTCATCATAATAAACACATCCTTTAATGCAATTTTTTCCAGAATATACACATTTTTGCAAAGCAAATATACACATTCATTATATAATGAACTTTGTATTCTATTTTCACTGATATATACATATTTTTGTACACTTTAAACTAGTATATGCATTCTTTGAAGGGGGAAAACGTGTTTTAAGGGCATTGTATGTACACAGCCCTTTTCTTTACCTCTAGATGGAAATTGTATCCCCCACCCTCAGAATATGGCATTCAAGTTCTTTGTTTTCTTGAAGTTATATAGGTTTATGAGTAAATGGGACTAAAGCTAGGTTTTATTTGACTCGCAATCTGGCGTTTTAATCATGAGACACAGTAACCTTTCAGTTGTTTTGCAGCAGATAATCTATCTCTATACTCCAAGAAGTGGCAAAACCTAAACAGATTACTAGACAGATAGAGAGAGCAGGTAGAAATCATCTATCATGGTGTACAGTACTTCCCTTTATTCCTCACATCCAAATCTCCACATCCAAAGATGTAGCGATTGCTTCCATTAGTCTAGGACCTAGTGTGATGCTGTAATGAATAATTCTTGACTTGATTGTGGTCTCACTCATCTATTTCTTTAGGACTCTATATTTTCTCTGTTTGATTGAGTAGCTGTTAAATGGAGAAGTGCTCTGATGGAAACATTTCTTTCCCCTTCTCAAATGCCAGCAGGTAACAAGCTATTTGTCATATGAAGTGCGCACCATCTGTAACCTTCTTGTTAGGTGCCCAAAGAAATTCAGAGTTAGCATGGATTCTTTAGTCAACAAAAGGTGCTCACTGACAAATCATTTCTCAAAGAGAGGAAAACAACTTTGTATCTTGCAGGACCTCCAGTCATTACTCAAGTGCATATTTGATTTAAAAAAATGGTACAGATTGAAAGGAGGACGGTGGGAAAATTACTCTCAGCAGCAAAGCAGATGCCGAGGTCTTGTGTAAAGCTGCAATCAGGTATTAAAAAGAATGAAACAATTTAAAATGAGTGCCCCAATCCACATATAGCAATGAGCAACAAGGTGATGTGGTGAATAAGAACCGTCGGGAGCTATAGTGCATGGCGATTTGTGTTTGTCACATTAGGCTCCTTTCACTCACATCTCCGACAGAGAAGGACTCATTTTCCTGTTAAGCTGCTCCACATAGGTATACTTTGTGCATAGAAACTACAGTCAGGTGCTCAAGGCTAATTGTATGGGCCTTTGCCACCCAGTAATTGTTCTCTTCCTGCAACATGGAGGCAGTCATTTGAAAAAGAAAAAGAAAAAGATTTGTACTGTTGGCTCTATTATTTGTAAAAAGGCCCTGAATCCATCCCAGACCACCACCCCCCTTTAGTTTTCTCTGAGGCGGATGTATTAGAGTAGAAGGTGGCAGATTCTAGCTACCATTTTAATTCTCCACAATGCCCCAAATGGATTCTATTTCAGGGGAATTGTGGGGAATTAAAATGGGGGCTACCATACAATGCAGCTAGCTGTTATTGCTGTCAGGTAAGCCTCCCAAGGCCCATCAGCAGAGGAGGGGACCCAATGGAGTTCACTTCGATCAATGCCCCTCAAATCCTGCAGCCTGCCCTGATAAGAAATCAGCATTATTATTCTCATACTGGATCCCCACCCCAGGATTTCACAGTTGGAAATAGAAACAGTCTTAACATACTTGTAATACCCCAATCTCACCCCCAAGGATGACAGTTGAAAGATTCCACTTTTGGGATTAGCAGGTTGACGCAGTTCTTCTTTTCTTTCTGCCTGCCTCCCTGGCTTGTGTCTACTCAGCATGCTACTGCATCTACCATAACCTGAGTGCACATTCCCATCCATATTGTAGTTGGGGTCATTCTGAATATGGTTGTCGTAAATGTCACATGAAATTCTGTCCCCCTTTTGCACAATTGATTTTTAATTAATTTTAGTTAATTTTCATTTCATTAATTTGTTTTTTGAGGGAAATGCATGTACATTTTCTGAGATGGTCCATGGGCTGCATTTTAACAATTCCTGTTGTTGTTGTTGTTGTTGTTGTTGTTGCTGTTTTAATGCACCATGCCTTTAGACTTGAGGATTTCCCTTTCCACCCTGCCATACTCCAAAACACAGGCTGCTTTTTTTTTTGATCAGCAGGCCCTTACGGATTCCTGATAGCTCTGTGGGCGTCTCGGTTTTATTATTGTTGTTTTTACAAAGAAATTGTTTTGTTTGGTCTTCTATCATTATGTCCTAAAGGCTCCTTCTCACCATTGCAGCTGCCACAGTGCTTTCCCAGCTTCTACTCCAGACAGCTCTTTCTCTATCTGCTCCCTTCTCAGTAGCCCACATACCTGAGGCCAATTTTGTAGCTTCATCCTGTAGTTAAACCAGCTGTTTTGTAATAACATTTGTTGATTTATTTCAACAAATGGCACAGAAGCCTTTTACATTATCATAACATTTGTTATACAAGAGCCCTAAAGGGTCTGCGCAAATCCATAATACGGGAGACTTCAAAAAAAAGAGAAAATCAGCACAAAGTTTTCTTTGCACATAAAAGTTGGCACCAGGAGAGGAGGAAATGCTGGGGAGCAACTCTTCTTGGCCCCCAGCTCCTTTTGCAAATGGTTTCATTTCAAAAAGCTGCAGCCCTATAGGCACTTACCTGGGAATAAAAATTCCGTTGAACTCAGTGGGACTTATTTCCAAGCACACAGTGCAGTGGAAAATCTTTTGCAAGTCTCCCTTATTCAGAGAACATGCAGATTGAGAGCTGGGCAAGAAAAATCTACATAACACGACATATGCCATCTCTGTTAAATATGCTAAGAGGACCCTCTTTAATATTATTCATATTCCAAAATGACTTTATGGTGGAATATGCAAAACAAAAAACAAAAACCAATCAATCAATCAATCAATCAATCCATATTTTGTAAGGTACTACTGATAAAAAAAAGTTCTGTTTATAAATTCAGAAGTAATTCTGAGCTGCCAGTTGGAAACTTTTCATTTCCTTACAGTTCATCAAAGGGAAACAACTAACCTTTTGAAATGGAAAAGATTGCCTGAGGCTATTTTTACATTGATCCTCCTCCTTTTTCAAGGTACATTGTGTGTGTGTGTGTGAGAAAGAGAGAGAGAGAGAGAGAGATTCTCCATAAGAAGCACTGATTTCTGTGACTGGCTCTTGGTCACATGGTAACAGCAGGCTCCAGTCGTTTTCATGGTGCATCTTTTGACTGAGATACTCATTACTTTGCTGTTGGAAGATGCCATGTTGCCATAGCCTTCTCAGGGCAGGTGGTGATGGCACAACTGAATTCTTCCTACATACCAGGAATCATCACATTTTACAACCAATTGGATAATTTGTCAATGTACAGTCATTAGGAATGCACAACCAACTTCCTAGCCATAGTCCTATAGGTTTTTAAGGTCTAGAGAATAAGGCTAGGGAGGAATATCAGCTATTATAAATGTAACATCACCCATTATTCATGGGATGACTGCAGTTTTCAAAAGAGGTAGCCAGCATGGATATCATTGGACTACAATCCCAGGCAGCTCAGGAATTGTATTATTTATTTAAAAAGTTACATCCTGCTTTTCACTAAGTCTCAAAGGGAACGCTGAAAGCTGGAAAACATTCTGTTGGCTCTCCCTGACCTAAGGATAAAACTAGCCTCACAAACAGTTAACTGACTGCTGCATTTAAGAAATTCACAAGCTCAGAAAAACATGGTTCAAAAGCCACTTTCCCTTTTACTTTTGCGGTACAGGACAATAGGCAATAGGCATATACCATTGTGCTGCAGATGCACATCTCGTTCATGACCTTTCATGTGCCTTGTCAGGTTGTGACTAGTTATCTGAAGAACCACATTCTCCAGTATGAGTCTGCCCCAAGGGGAGATGCTTCTGGTGGAGACACAAGAGAGAGTCTTCTCAGCAGCTGCACCCAGGCTCTGATGAGGTACATCTAGGTCCCTCTCTAGGGATCTCCTGCCAACAACCAAATACTTTTTTTTTTTTTTGTTTAGACAGGGCTAACTGAGTTGTGTTTTCCCACTACTCAGTGATGGCAGATGTTTTAAGATGGCTGCTATTTTTTATGTGCTCCTGCTTTTTGGCAGAGGTGAGGTCAGAGAAGATGCAGGCTGGTGAACGTAAGGATCCTGCAGACCATGGCCAATCCAGAGATCCCCCAGCCTCGCTGCCCATCTCCCCCCATCTACATGCCAGGAAACATAGCCCTACTGCTGCCATCCCTCCTCCCAGCTGATACACCCAAGCTCTGCTGTATTTTATTATTTTGCCACTATTGTTGATAGGAGCTTGGGGTGCCTAATTGTGGAGCAGTGGAGTCATACCTAAATAAATAAAGATTTTGCATAGGATAAACCTTTTCTCTCCCTCTTCATTCTCTTTAGGCACTCAGCTGAGCATAGCCCACTGCAGGAAGCTTGTATGCATTTCCTTTAAGTAGCTGCCACCCATTATTGCCTCATGTCATAGCACAGAAATAAGCCTACCAATTTGACTACAGGAATTGCTCAATTTTGCCGTTCTTTGTTTTTCAACGTTTCACTTCTCCTAGCAATACGCTTAAGCTCTGCACCGAACCGGAGGATTTTCCATTGATTAAATGTAATATCCAAATCCAATTCCCACATATTCGGATAAAATATTAGAGAGGTGCCGTCCAAGAAAGTGTCAAGAGCTACACCTTGATCCAAATTAAGCTTGTAATAAGAGCCTTTCCAAACAATAATCTGACTGTGCAGTAATGTGCAGTTGTAACTCAATTGTTGCAGATTTGCTTTTCAGCAGCATGCTGTTTGTATACCTATCACCAGAAATGACTCCTTGGATATTTGCCTGTATGGCAAAGTATGGGGGGGGGGAGAGACCATTGGAATCCGGTGTTGTCAGCGCATATGATAAATCCATTCTTGTGTGAAATTAATGTGCAAAACTAAGGCTACAATGCCTGCATGCAGTTATTGAAATCATGGGGCATTATTTCTGAACTAAGAGAAAGGTTGGGGCTTCCTTGGAATTTTGCCTGGGACGAATTTCAGATGCCTGCGCTTCTAGCTTTACCCAAGAGATTTACTCCCTTCTGGATATATCCTGTTACTCCACTTGTTCTTTCTTTGAAGTGAGGCCGTTTTCTTTTTCTTTATGAGAACAGTAAAGTCTCCCTTCCTTACAAGCAAGGTGGGAGTGTTGCAGATACAAGGGTAAGAAAGAGATGGGTTAATTGGGATTAGAAGAGGTCAGAACTTTACTAAAGAAACATGGCACACCATTAGGATTCCATAGCTAGATATAATGGGGAAAAGAACTTGACGTAGGAAAATGAGAGTCAGCCCATTGGTTGGTCTAGTTCAGAATCGTCTCCCCTGACTGAGAGTGGTTCTGCAGAATTTCAGATAGAGTTTTACATGTAAAGCAGAAGCTCTACTTCTGAGCTCTGTCCTTTCCTGCCCAATGTGGTAGGAAGATCCCCAAAAAGGAGTTGCTAAATTTTATTTCATCCGAATATCATAGGATGGTTGACAATATAAAATACACAATGAGAACAACAACAAAAAAGCAAACTAATAACTCCCCCTCCCACAAACACATAGAATGTTGTTCAGCCAAAGACCTGGTTAAAGAGGAACATTTTCGCCTGGTGCCTAAAGATAAGTAATGAAGGGGAGAAGCGAGACTCTCTGGGCACAGCATTCCATAAGTGGGGAGACACTGCTGCAAGGCCTGTTCTCATGTTGCCATCCTCAGGACCTCTTGAGGGAGAAGTCTCAACTGTGTCTGGGTCAATTTATATCGGAAGAGGCAGTCCTTGATGCAGTGTGGTCCTGAGTCATTTAAGGTATGTAGGCCCTTTGAATCAGACCTGGAAAGTAATTGGCAGCCAGTGCAGTTGGGCCAGGATCAGTGTAATATTCTCAAACCATCTTGCCCTGGTGAGCAACTTGGGTGCTGAATTCTGCACAGCTGAAGTTTCTGTACCATCTTCAGAGGCCTTGTGGTGGTCTCCTAGGTAGTTCTGATACTGAGGCACATTGCAGGATATAGGCCTTTGATCAAGGGCAATTTAATACAAAACTGTTTACCATGTCTAGAATCTCAGGGTACTTTTCAGTCCTATTACTCATCCATGTTTAAAATAGCTCTACCAGGAATTAAATTTAAGACCTTAAGCCAGCCACACAGGCCCTCTGCCACTGGCCTTTCCCAACAATATAGGCCCCACTAGTAGAATCTACATCTGTACTTTGCACATACCAGGTTAACTTCAGTATCCAAGGCAATATAGACTTCTTGTTATCCCGAGAAGCAAATGTAAAAGATGCTCCACCTGAGCAATGTGAAATGATACAGTAAACTCTATATTATCATGATTGATAACCATACAAATGTAGTTCATCCCTGAGCATATGTGCCAGATGTTAAATATATTTTGAATAATTGCTAAGAATTTACCATATCAGGGAGCCCTTTTAAAACAACAGGGTGCATACCAGTGATTGGACCAGATTAGCTTCTGGCAACTGCAATGAAAAGCAGTAAAGAACAGAGTATTTGTCAACAAGAGATGCAAATCTATTGCCCTCCCAAATGTGTTTCAGCAATTTCTAAACAAAAATATATTCCCAGTTACACTTGCTCTATCAGCCATGTCATTCTGAGCTCTAGCTTGTCCTTTTATCCTCTGGTTGTCTTCGGTCCCAAAGTCCAGCTTGCATCCTGGTTTGTCCTCCCTTCCATCTTGCTTCTCAGTTCTGGCACCTACTTTGTACTTCAGTTGTGACTGATGCTTCTGTCCTGATCGCTTCCTAACCTCAGTCAGCTGTGCATGGCCCAGCAATGACAGAGAAGGGGGGGAAATGGCCACTTTCTCCACATGAGTAATTTTATAAGCCACTTGCATTCCACTCCTTTCCCTGAGGCATCTTTTCTTTCAATTAAAAAAAAGCTGCAAATGTTGTAAACCTTTCTCGTAAAGAAGGTTCGTTCTCAGGCCTTCTGAGGAAACTGTATTCTCCATCAGGCCAAGTGTCAGGGAAATGGTATATAAAGAGAGATGAAAAGATAGATCCCACATTCTTTCCTTCTATTTATTTTATTTATTAAATTTATATACCACCCTTCACCCAAAGATCTCAGGGCAGTTCTGCTGCCCTTGCTTCTTCCAGGCAGGTGGCTGGGTTGGTGGCAGCGTGGGAAGAGCTCTTCTCTGGCAGAGTGATTCTTCTCTATCAGACATGGAGAAGAATTTGAGAATCCTGGTTTTTGCCTCAGCTTTACAGCAAATCTTTTGAGTCACCAGCATTTGCATTTGTACACTAGCAATTAGAAATCTCTCACAGAGACTGTTATATAGAGTTGGGGAACCTCTTGTCAGCCACATTCCCTCATGGAGAAACCTCTGAGGGTTGCATGTCAGTGGTGTTAGGGAGAAAAGGCAAAAGCAGATGGAACCTTAGATGTGATAATTACCTTTGTACAGTACAGGGATTTTTTTTTCCAGCCAGAACTCGCAGGAACTCGTTCTGGCACCTCTCAGGTGGGCATCATTGCCATTCTATGAGAATGAGGGAGGTCTTAATGGTGAGTTCCGGCACCTCTTTTTTTCCTAGAAAAAATAGCACTGGCACAGTAGACTACATCCCAGAGCTTTCCACACACATTTACACCATCATCTATATCCAGGGCACATTCCTGTGAGAAAAAAAGATACTCTAATGCCCCCAGTATCCATGGTAGAAATGCAAAAGCAGCAACATGCCTGAATATGTCTTATACAAAAGGCCTAAATGTTACCTAAAAGGCTGGGTGCCTTTTCGGGCCGTTGGCCAAGAGAGGCAGAGTGGGAAAATGCTTGGCACCAATTGGTGCATTTCTAAGGTGGTCAAAAGGGGGGGGGGCAGGACTTCTGTCTTCCCTCCAGCCTCTACATTTGCAGCAGCACCCATCCTCCCTCCTTGTCTCCCACTGTGCTTCAGGGTTGCTATTAGGGGGCCATGTAAGAATTTTTTCCCAGTTAGGAGCCGTGCCCCAATTCCTTAGGCAAGGGCAAGTCACCCAATGGCTATAGTTATACAGTTTAGTTAGTTCTCATCCCATAGTCATCCCCTTCTACTGATGAATTTAAGACCTAAATAAAGGTGGCCCAGTTCAACCCCAGCTTATGTGTCTGCCTCTTTCTGTGCCCATCAGGGTGCAAAATATAATGCTATATTCGAGTGGAATAACAGTTGTCCAAAATGTGTAACCATTGTGAAATACATTTTTCCACCAGATATTTATATCTATCCATCAGATTCTGTTTGCTTTTAAAAAAAAAAGTTCCTGCAAGTTATTTTTCCACTCTCTTTATTTTGTAATTAGGTATGGCATTTATTAAAATGCTTTAAAACCCCAATACAGCTTTCTTACCAATATATGCAAGGACATCCATCAGAGAACAGATGGTCTTCTAAATGTGAAACTAAACAGTTCTAGAATGATGACAATCCATTTATCTTAATGTGTACATCCTCCAGCAGATAGCTAAAGCAGCAGCAACAGATTTATACCTTGCAAACTGTTTTACATGAAAGTTTTGCGAAAAGCAAAACAAAAACAAAAAGCCCTCTCTCCTAAGATAGGAAGACAAATTGAATATGCCTCAGTGGTAGGGTCAGGCCTTTCAATAATGACAAGCAAATTGAACTAAAGCCTCTGCTAAAAGCATGTCCCACATGACAACCTTCAATGTTTGACACTGCAAAACACAATTGAAAGCACAGGGTGGGGGAGCAGCAAGGTTGTTCTTCATGGGATTTTCACAGCAAGAGACGCTCTCAACTTCCCCAATTGGAAATTTCCAGGATAAGTCAAACTTGTTAATGGTAACAACAGAGTGCCTGGTTTGAAGTGCCAGCAGTTGCCCACCATCAAGATTCAGACATGTTCCTCCAGTTCCTACAAGAACTATTTTAGACAGCTACAGCAGCAATGGCTTCCATGTGATGTGACCCTGTACCTTTCGAGAATTGGGTTGGAGCTACAAGGAGGCCAACAACTTCACTATATTGTTTTCAGTATGTGTTTTAAAAATGTTTTTGTTGTTCTAGCAAACCAACCCAGGCATGTGACTGAGGTATACATGGTTCTAAGATTACTGAGTAGTATCCAGTGCTCCTCTTACTCAGTGCAGACCCTCTGAAGTTAATGGACATGACTAGCTTAGGTTCATTAATTTCAATTGGTCTACTCTGGGTAGGACCTGATTGACTACAACATTACACATGGGATTCACTTAACTAGCCTGTCAGCTGAAACTTTGTGCGTCTACAATGGGGCATTCCAGCCTCTCCTGCCCCTGCCCCTCCTGAAACTAGCTCTGAGGCTCAGGAGAACCTCCCCCCGCCCTGAATATTGCACAGAAGAGGACAGGAGTATTGTTCTGCCTGAAATGCTAGAATGGTTGTACAGCAGAGCACAACACTGAATTCAACCCAAGGATTTTACTTTATATATTGATTTTTTAAAAATGAAGCTTGCCTTTAATGCTTGTTTTTTTATTGGTATTTTAAAGGAATATTTTGGAGCAGTGGTTCTCAAACTGTACTCGATGCAGCACCAGTACTCTATGAGTTGCATGCAGGTGGTTCTATGGAATTCAAACTGTGATACAATAAAATGCAATATAAGAAATAAAAGAAATAATTAAAAAGCATGCAGCATCTAGCACAAGACATTACAATTGCTACAACAGGCATCGGGATTCCTTCTTCACTCTCAGCTAATGGCCTCCCACACTGGGCTTCTGTTAGGTGTGCAAAATGGAGGCATACTTTGTTTTATTAATACAGTGGTACCTCGGGTTACAGACGCTTCAGGTTACAGACGCTTCAGGTTACAGACGCTTCAGGTTACAGACTTCGCTAACCCAGAAATAGTACCTCAGGTTAAGAACTTTGCTTCAGGATGAGAACAGAAATCGTGCATCAGTGGTGTGGCGGCAGCAGGAGGCCCCATTAGCTAAAGTGGTACCTCAGGTTAAGAACAGTTTCAGGTTAAGAACGGACCTCCAGAACAAATTAAGTTCTTAACCTGAGGTACCACTGTAGCTGGATTCTTCAGTTCCTTTCAGGAGCTGTATTTTTGTTTTGGTAGTCTGGGACTTTAACCAGCTCCTGCATTGCTAGTCCCTTCCTTTCCTAAAGAGTGTTTTCCAAACTTGGGCCTCCAGCTGTTTTTGGACTACGATTCCCATCATCTCTGACCACTGATCCTCCTAGATAGGAATAATGGGAGCTGTAGTCCAACAACAGCTAGAGAGCAAAGTTTGGGAAACACTGCTGTAGAGTTAGGCCTGAGGCCTCCTCAGGGTCATCACCTGCATTTCCACGTGGCTCCAGATACTTTCTATCTGATAGTTCAGGCCCCGTAGCTGGGAGGGGAAATCAGACATCTTTTCTGCCTACAGGCTCTTCTCCCAAATGGCCCACACCACAGGAGGGGGGAACCTGTGGCCCTCAAGATGTTGCCCAACTAAAATTCCCTGTGGCCCCTCCACACTACGCCACTGGCACCTGCTGGGTCAGGACAATGGCCCTTCTAGTCCAACACCTTGTTCTCACAGTGGCCACCCAGATGGTTTTAGTGAGACCCAAGCACAAGAACACCCTCCCCTCCTGCGGTTTCCAGCAACTGGCATTCAGAATAATTACTTCCTGCAACCATGGAGGCAGAGCTAGGCCATCATGGCTAACAGCCACGGACAGCCTTTTCCTCCATGAATTTGTCCAGCCCTATTGTAAAACCATCTGAGCCAGTGTGGTGTAGTGGTTAAGAGCAGTGGACTCGTAATCTGGTGAACTGGGTTCCCTTCCCCGCTCCTCCACATGCAGCTGCTGGGTGACCTTGGGCTAGTCACACTTCTTTGAAGTCTCTCAGCCTCACTCACCTCACAGAGTGTTTGTTGTGGGGGAGGAAGGGAAAGGAGATTGTTAGCCGCTTTGAGACACCTTAAGGGGAGTGAAAGGCGGGGTATCACGTCCAAACTCCTCCTCCTCCTCCTCCTCCTCCTCTTCTTCTTCTTCTTAGCTTTAAAAGTTATCAATAATAGAGATACAATTTGCAAATCGGCTGTACTGAAGAAGTGTGTGAATTCGTCTCGGGCAGGAAGTAACTCAAGTGCAGTTTTCCCCCCCCTGAGGTTTCTTTTCTAACATTGCCCTTTTTGGGTGGGAAATAAATAAATAAAGGGCTCTCTCTCTCTCTTGGTATCCAGTAGCTGAGCTCTCTGAAGGTCACCTTCTGAGCAAGTCTCATACATTATGCATAGGACAAAAGAAAATCTGCATCTTGATATTTAGAAATCAACAGTTGTGTGAAAACATGCCTGAGCTTACGGGGGCATGTTGACTCATAAACAAGGAAGAAAATGTGCATTTTCCTTTTTTTAAAAAAAGCAATAAAATAATAAAAGCAAAGCAATGGCTGCATTCTCAAGGTGCAAGATGGGAGTTCACTATCCCCTTCTACACTCAGGATAGCTTGAGTTAAGAGAATATTGTCAGCTTGAAAGGAAGCAAGACATCTGAACAGGTTTGTTAAAAGAGAATGAGGGAGACAGGAAGGAGATGTACATGCATAGAATAATGCTGTTTTCCCCACCTTATTGACAAGACAGGGGTGTCTCAAACAATAATGGAAAGTGGGGAGAGCAAAACTGGAGTATTCAGAGTTGTTTTAGCCTCCCACCCAGACAGACAATTTTGCCTTCAAGTTTCAGCTACCAGCTTCTATCTCCAAACTGTGTCAAGCTGTTCCTGTGTCTGCTTCTTAACCCTTCTCCAAGTACATTTAAATCCCATGTGTTGCAGCTTTCAATCAAAGTTACACAATTCTACAGTTACAGGGTAACTGTCACTCAAAAACATCTAAGTCTTGGCATTGCTGTCTGTGGTTTACACAAGGGGCAGTAATTTTTTTAACCTATAACACTCACAAAGAACTTCTAGTTTTTGAGACAACAGCTGAACAAGTATGAGTTTGAATATCTGTGTTTCTGATTCACATTTTAACCCACACCATAGTGAACTTTGCTAGGTCTTCTGTAATAGTTTGAATATAATCCTTCAACAGAGACTGACAGCTTTATCTCAGAAAAATGGATCAATTGCATCACTTCAGTGCACTTTCATTAGAATGGACATACTTATAACCTCCTTGCGACCCAGTCTCTGCTACCTAATAGTCTAATGATGATGGTGATGATGGTGATGATGATAGTGATAATAATAATAATAATAATAATAATAATATATTATTATTTATAACCCGCGCATCTGGCTGGGTTTCACCAGCCACTCTAGTGTACAATATTTAGCACCAATTTTATAGCCGAAGGTGAAAGCAGGAAAAACTGGTTTATTTTCTAGAAGAAAATAACTTCCTAGACCTCATCATTAGAAAAACTTTGAAACTGATGGTGTTTTCACAATTCAGGACTTATCCACACTTCCTCTTGCTTTGCTGTTTTCCCCAGGGGGCAACTGCTCTTTGAACACTAAAGAGCAGTGAAAAGAGCAACTTGGGTTTCCCTTGGACAGCCAGCTCTGCAGCATTTAGGCTATTGACTGCCCCTGTAAAAAGGCTCCATCATTCTCTAGAAGCCTAGTTTGGCATTCAATTAAGTTTTACTTAGAGTAGACGGATAAATTAATCGACCTAACTTACTAATGTTCATTAATTTCCCTAGGTCTACTTTGAATAAAGTCAAATAACACTCATAAACTGTAAGATTGAATTGCCTTTGCATTCAGACAATGGGTTAAAAGTAGAGATGGTGGCAGGTGTACCCGCCCCAAAAAACTGGAGCATCCCATTTTACCCCGCAAGAGCACAGTGGCCAATGGGGGCATTGGGCTCTCACGCGATTTTGAGCTGAGATCTCACCCTGAAAAAGCACTTTTTTTAGGTCCATGATCTTGCATGTTGTCCCAAAATGTGTGTTTTTGGGTGCTGTGCCAAAAGAAAGAAAGAAAGAAAAAGGTATTTTTCCTGGTCCACAATCTCACATGCCTTGTATGGGAGTACAGACCCGGAAGATGGTGTCCCGGTTTGGAGCCACATCGCATTGGAGGGGATGGAGTAAGTAGCAAATGGTACTTTTAGCCTGTCCTGCTCTGCAGGGTTAGAAGTTGCTTGGATCCATTTGTCAGAGCAGGCATGACCTTAGATGAGCTGAGACAACTTTATGCCAATTAGACTATTATCAAAAGTTTTTTGTCTTGTTTTCTTACTTCAGTAATGTAAGCTGGTTGAGTCTAGGAGGAAAGTGCTACTTAACTCCTCTTCACAAGTGGGGGTCAGGCCCAAAGGGCTGGTTTAATGCATGTTCTCTCAGAATAGTTTGTATTTTACTGTTGCTTCTAATATAGCATAATCCGGTCTCTGCATAGTCAAGAATTTTCTACTGATGCTCAGGGGCTTTGGATCAAGCTCATAATAGCTGAGAATTTTATATGACTAACATCCCAGACTTAATTGAGTACTGTGCAGGAGGCCTTTATTCGTGACTGTAAGCCCCATGGTAAGATTTGATAGTTCCCACTAAATGACACAAGAAAGGAAAAATCACAGTGGAGAAATATTACAAGAAATAGAGTTAAATACATGGATCTCTAATCTGCGGTTGCATCAACACCATATATTTAAGGCATGTGACTTCTCCCCAAGAATCCTGGGATCTGTAGTTTTTTAAGGGTTTGGGGAATTGTAGTGCTGTGCAGGGTAAACGGCAGTGCCCAGGATTCCTTGAGGGAAGCCATCTGTAGATCTAACTATAGGCTCCATGAAATGTGTGATATAGGGTGCTACCATGGAACAATTTATTAAGGACTTGATGCTGCTCCCACAAGCAGATTTTCGAAGATCCGCAAGAAGTAACCCTGTGGTGCTTCCGAGGCTCCATGCCCAGTGTGACTGAACCAGTCATGGCCACCCGCAATCCATCTCTGCCAGCAACGTAACTCTGAAGTGTAACATAGCCAAGTAAAACTCAATGCTTAATGAAAAGTAACCCCTCCGTAGACTTCAGTAGTTATTTTGCTTGAAGGAAATGACTCAGAAGTGGTCTTATAGAAGCTGAGGCTGTAAGTTACACCATGAGGGCAAGCAACACCTACCTCAGTGGTACTTGGCGTCACAAGAATGCCAAAAAAAGGCCAGATGACTGAACCAATTTTAGTAAGTCAGGTTGGTACCAAGCAAAAGCTGTTTTTCATTATTTTGTTTCCCCAATAGGACTTTTTAAGCCATTACACTTGGAGCCCCCATACATCAGAAAAGATAAAATCAAAAGGCAGCATTTTAATGTAGAAATTATGTCTAAGCAGTTAAAGGAGTTTTCAAAGCTGAGGCATTGAAGCCCGCAGTACTACTAGGTCAAAGTTCAGTTGGGAATGTGGATTAGATTATTCATTTTCTCTTCTCAGCTAGCTGCAGGGCTAAGATCAGTTTCTAAATTATTTACTTGCACATTTCATGTTGAGGAACATGCACTGCATTCTTCACCACCCCATGTGATCAGTTACTAGAATCACTATTAGGAGATCCCTTTTATTATAAATATTAAGCTATATACATGTGCATGCACACGTTTGTGTGTGTTTAAGAAAAGCAATCAGCGACATTTTTACTTGATGCTATTAAGAGTTTTCAACAACTAATTACTGCAGGAATGCAAATGTAGTGAAACCCAATTAAATTAATATCAGATATCTGAATAAAGCTGTAAAACAAATACATGTACTTTGCAGCTGCCTGTGTACATTCCATGGTTGTAGTGGAACCTGTTCAAACAAATAAGTGATAGAGGCACAATACGAATCAAACAAATATATCACCCAAGTACTGAGTTGGGAAGTATAACAGTGATTAGGCTTTTCAGTGGATAAATAGGATTTGATTGGTCTACTTTGCTAGAGGACAAAATCTTCTAATTAATGCTGCAGTATTTCAAACCTGTTAGAGATTCCCTGTATATCAAAGCATTGTAAGTGGTGCCCTGTATTTCATGATGAAGAAAAATATATATTAAAGTGATGATGTAATGAGGTTTTTGTGTGTGTGTGTGTCTGTATGCAAAGAAACGGGGGTTGATCATAAAGATCACTGAATGAATGATTGGGAGAGGGGGAATATATCTGACCTGATTACTTCAAAGCATATGATCAGAAAAATCTCTACTACAGATATTAACTAGGCAGATTCCATTGATCTACAGTAAAGCTTTGTCAATGAAAGCTTCCCCACACCCTCAAATTGATTCTCCATCTTGCCTTCTCATTCTTTCGACAGCACACAGCAGGAAGCTGTGTCAACATGTGGAAAACAGGATCTAGCTGTAGGCAGGGGTATGAACCAAAAAGATACTGATTAAAGCAAAAACAGAGTGCTGCTAGAATTTGATCTTAAAATTATTGATCTTGTCAATCAGTTATGGACCCAGAATGTCTCTTTAAGTCCACAGCTGCTCTAAGATTGCCACCCAAACACTCAGCAAAGAACAGAGTAATCTGCATGATAAAAAGGAGCCATTTAAGTATAGAGTAGTAAAGAAATGTTCATTTTACAAAGCTCATACCTGCATGAAACAAGTGAAATTAACTGGGTATGTCTGAGGAATTTCACCTTGATGAATTCCTGTATAAAATGCCCTTATCCCCACCTCTTGGCAGGGGTGGACTTTGGTAATATGGTGCCCTGAGTGAGGATGAAAATTGGTATAGTTCTGTACAGTTTTGGCTCTTTGCAGTAGGTACCCACATAAAAAAGAGGTGTTGTTGTTAACTCTGAGGTTAAAAAATCAAGGACTCACTAGAGGGCCTTCTCAGCAGTAGCACCCTGGCTATGAAAGATTCTCCTCTTTGAGCTTTGGTTAACTGCTTCTCTATTTGTTCTTCAGGGCAAACTGAAGGCTACTTTCTGTTATCAAGCCTTGTATAATATTATGCACAGACTGAAGAATCGTAATAGTTTTTCATGGACTTTGGTTTTGAAGCTGCATTTATTTATTTGTTGTGACCTACCCTGAGATCACATATGATGAGGGATAAGAATGTGTGTGTGTATATACATAAGGTAAAGGTAAAGGACCCCTGGATGGTTAAGTCCAGTCAAATTCGACTATGGGGTGCAACGTTCATCTCTGCTTTCAGGCTGAGGGAGCCAGCACTGGATTTACCCATTCTTGAGAGCTGGAGTGGCTAGCATGGTTGGGAAACTCTTCTGAAACACCCTCCCAATGCTGGTGTTGCTGTTGCTTTCCTCAATGGCATGCCCATCCTGTTCTGATCTGCCTTGTCCCTTGCTCTGCCCAATAAGCATAAGTGATGCTGATGTTAGAAGGGTGACTACATGGCATTAGGCCACCACACCAGCCACTCTGGTCTTAAAAGTAGTTGGTTCTCTGAAAGTACTTCCAGTATTTGCCTGCCAACCATTCTTTCATCTTAAGTAATGGCTTATTTTCAGCAGTGAGGTCCACTTAATAAAAAATGAAGGCTTCCTTTTCCCGAAGTTGTGCACAACCATGATTCTTTTGCAGTCAACTTCTGCATTGATGCATTTGTTCTCATGTGATCTTTGTTTTCTATTTTATATATTTCTACTGTATTTGCAACAGCAACACCCTTCTGCCTGCTTAAGGATAAGTGCCAACATCAAATTACATCAGTGTAGGAGGAAATTGTGTGTGCATGTGCATGTGTGTAATTTGACAAAAGGGCTTGAACTAATGCCCTTCTTCTGTAACAGAAATGGCAAAAAAACTAGAGTCTACATATGAGATAATATATAAGCATTTTAAAGGGAAATTAGTATCGCACACGGGAGTTTCACAGTGAATCAGTGCTTATTTACCACAGGTGCTGTAGCTGTTGCTAATGTATTCTTTTTAAACTCCATGGCCGAGGAAAGGTATGGCTGCTGGTAACTTCATTAAGTGTATTCAGAAAGGGAAATAGGTCAGTATATACCAAGTTGCATTGACACAAGTTGCTCTTAGTAAGCCTATACAAACCTATCCCTCCCCCACATGTGCACATATTATGAAGATATTTCAAGCTCAAATCCACCCATGTATTTAAAATATTAACTTATATTTGTTTTTATGTATCATGTCTCTTATCTATAACTAAACAAATGTTTGTTGAGTGTGTTAGAAATGCATTTTACTGAGCTTCTGATTTTTATCAGAAAGTACAGTTCAAATTTTTGGAAGCTGACTGCATGGCTTTGAGAACACCAGATGAGCATCAGAGAGCTACGTTTTGTTCCAGTTAGTTTATTGGTTGAGAGGAAACGTTAAAAATTGACTCAGAGCCCACTGGAATGTTGTAATGAAACGATCCACACTGATATAGTTCAGTGGTAGATTGTGTTTGAAAGTTGGTTTTTCACTTTCACAACAGCTTCATGAGAATTTTGTTGTTGTTGTTAGAAACCAGAATAAAATGCCATGGAGATTCAGAACATAACAAGAATTCCTTTATCACATGCATTGAGCAGAAATGGAGAGGCACATTTTGCAGTGGGTGGAATGCCCTACACCAAATGTAGATTTGTTGTATCCCTTTGTAAAAGTGTGTTGGATTGTGAAGGGTGAATGTTGGCAGAAGAGGAGATGTGTGGCCATTGCCCAAGGATTCCAGAAGAACATTTCCACTTCTGGATCCATTCACATGCAGTTCACGTGGGGCAGTTTGTGGCTGAGAATGCAGATCTCCTTTCTCTTCAGCTAAGCATGCCAACTAGAGCCTGTTCATGGCGAAGGCCTTAATGAACAGTGCAACATTCACAATAATGAATTTCCTTTTGCTCTTCGAACACCCAGACAAATCAGTTTGGCTACATGGTACCATGATGTCATCATGATCAATATGTGATGCTAGTTTAATGGTTAGGGAAAACATGTTTCATGTTTAAAAGTATTTGGAAAGAAGCCCACCCCCCCAAGGGTTAAAGGTCAGGAAGTAGGGGCTTTCTCAAGGACCCTGTCAGCTTCCTCCTACTGCAACCCCTCCCAGGGCAAATGTGTACTGAAAATGACCTCATGGAAACACAGTGCAATACACTACTTCCCCTCCTTCTAGATTATTTGAATCGAGAAAATTGAGGGCAGGATTAAATACACTGTAAATGCTAATAGAAGTGGCATACACCCTCACAATCTTTTATTGCAGTGTACATTTAGGTATTTCCTGGTCTGTCTGGATGTTTCAAATGAAATCTCTCCCAGTTGTATTGTGCTCCTCAAAGCTCCCTGCCCCCGTACCACCATTCTTCAAGTTGATATCATCAGAGAGTGAGAGCATTAGCCAAAGCAACCTTTACAAATTTAAAATATCAAAATGGACACTCTTGCAATAGGGAATCGAAATGAAGGCGACAGAAAGACAGTTTAACGGTCATCTCAATTTTGCTGCATTGAATAGTGTGCAACTAAGAAACAATTTCAGTAGTACTGATTATGGTAGGCGAGATTTAAGCATGTGCTAATTTCCCCATTGATGAAATGAATGGGGCTCAAAAGTGCTTAACTTTGGGCTGGATAACACCCAGGATTTCTATCACAGCAGTGAAATGTTAGCGAAGTCTTTTGTCTGTCTGCCACATCTTTTAACAAGGTCAGTACGATTTTCCTGGGTAAGAAACAATTGATTTGAAGATCTGGCCTAATTCCCCAGGCCACCTTGCTATTTTAAATTTCAGAAGAAGGAAATGTTTTGATTATTGTTAAATTGGAGATGTGTGGGAGCTTAGTTCCTTAACACAAGAGGAAAAGAACATAGTATATTTTCCTTTACATTTCTGTCAGTAAAATCAATCATCGAATGATTAGAAGTACTTCTAGCTTTTTTATGGTGGGAAGTGGCTTTTTTTTGCTTACTTCTCTTAACTTTCTGTTAGTTATTTCTGTATTTTCCTGGATCGCCATCAGGGTGTGTTTTTTAGAGGTTAATAGACTAGTTTACATTCTAGGATGTAAATACTCCTTCCATCACTAGCAAAGTCTTTATCAGGTGTTCGTTGACTAGGTCCTGAAACACAATTTTGGGAAGAAGTTTCATTATTTGAATTTATCATTATTATTACTCCCCCACAAAATAATGCACTTTAAACCATTATTTGCCACTGCCCACAGTAGCTTGCTTAACTCTTTAGGTTCAGGAATAAATAGGTATTCATCTCCTTTTAAGTGGATATCTTAGTCCATATTGCTATGAACAAAGACATTTTGGGAACTTTTTTGTTGGTTCTAGCAAAGGTATTACAAAACTATGGACTTCAAAAAAAATTTCTAATGGATCAACAAAGTACTAGGTGACACTACACTATTTGGTTTCAACTGATTGCCATGTTTCTCTTTGTTTTGTCTTAGCAAACAAGGATGACAAACAGAAGACAGAATTGGGATTCAGTATGACCTTAACCGATTGGAGAACTGGGCCAAAACTAACAGAATGCATTTCCGTTGGACAAATGTCAGGTTTTGCACCTGGGAAAGAATAGCCAGCTGCACAAATATAAGATGGGTCACACCTGGTTTGCCAGTAGTACATGTGAAAAGAATCTAGGGGTCTTAGTGGACCACAAGCTTAACATGAGCCAACAGTGTGACACAGCAGTAAAAAATTAGCTTCAGCAAAGGATTGCTGAACAGGCCATAGAACTAGAAACTGGAACTTGTTCTCACTATGGTTTGTTGATGAATCGATTCTTGGACTTGTGACAATGATGCTTACTGTACATTATTACATGTATTTTTGGCTTCTGTGAAAGGTTCACATTTCCCGCTACGTGTCTGTAGATGAATATATTAGGGAGAACTCACATCATAACTTTTATCTGCAGAAGAACTATTACAAAAGGAGTGTGGGAGCCAAGAGAGATGTGGATTACAAAAGAATAGCCGTTTGCTATCAGTCTAGGGGGGGATAGGATGAAAGGTTATACAGAGTGTCCAGGGTGCTCACATAATTCCTGTTGGACCACAGTTTGCCTCTCTTTTCCTTTTCGTTAAATCCCCACATGAAAACTTGTTTCTCACAGGAAAACTATAGGCAATCCCTGAGTTCAGAGAGGCTCAGGTTAATTCCTGTCAGGTATCCCCTGTTATCGCTGAAGGTGGATGCCATCAGAAAGTGTCAAGGGGCTCCAGCATCTTGTCCATACAGTTCCCTTTGGAGTGTGAATCATTTGAGCATACACTGTATACCAATTGAATAGAAAAGTTCAACTGTTGTGCCACAGAGAAGAAATAAAACCACCACCAGCTTCTTTCACTCCCCCCCCAAATTCTTAAGTACAGAAATCAGTCCTGAAAACATGTCACTGGACAAATGTATACAAATCTGACATGTCTATTGCCTCAAGATATTTGGACATCTCAGCTCTGGTTCCTCATCCAAGAATAGCAGTGCTGTATTCCAGCACACAGCATTGGACATTTTGTCTTAATAAAAACAAGAGGAGGCAGTTGATGAGGCTTTGTTTTAGACAAATCTCAGCTTTCTAATCCAGGCTACTTAATGATATTCATTTGGTTTTCTAGTTTGTTAGTGGAAATAAGAAGTGATATTTATATTGGGTATTCAGCTGTGGGAAAGAAACCCCCCTATACCCAGCCAACTACAATAATTCTGGTGGATATTAGCTGAGCTGGGCTGATGGTCAGGTGCTGGAACAGGAGTCTATCTAGAACTTTCTGTGGCAGTTGAATTACTTAGACCAGGGAGCCAAACCTAGGCATTATTATTATTATTGTTATCATCATCATCACCATCATTTCTTACCCACCCCTCACCATAAGGTCTCAAGGCAGATAACAGCAATGAAAAAAATTACAATATTAAAAACATTTTAAAAGAAATGCCAGTTAAAGAATATGGTGGGTTGTAAAAAAAAGTTGTCAAAGGCCAGGATAAAGAGATATGTCTTCAACATACAGCATGAACTACACAATGTTGGTGCCAGATGCCCCTGTGTGGAGAATGAATTCCATGACTTAGGGCTACTGCAAAGAAGGCCCTCTCCCCGGCTGCCTACCCCCAAACTTCTGAGCGCCCCCCCTTCTGGTGACCTTAACACCTGAGAGGGTCTATGTGGAATGACGGATGGATTTAGAAGTTACAGTATGTCCCACATGGGCACATGCCTACTATGTGCCTGAAATGGAGATAATATCTTGTTGTGATAGCAAAGCAGCATTATCATCCTGTCAAATGGTACAGAAAAGTACAGAATTGTTCTAAAAAAAAAAATAGATCTGTCAAGTATAAGCTTTCATTAAACATGTGCGGGTTCCTTTGTTTTTTATCTGTTCTCACACCCTGTGCTTTTTAAACCTGTCATTATGTCAAATATATTTGGGACCTTCTTTTGTGTTTTATGAAACTATTTCCTTTCGCAGATGTGCCACAGTTTAATTTTAAATGAGATCACATGCATGTCACCCGGCAATTCTGTCTCAGGTTCAAAAGCTAAATTAAGTTGGAATCAATGTTGGACGGATAATCCAAGTCTATGATCCAGCAACTGTCTCAACATTATTGCAGAACATAACTAGAAAGGAAATAAGGGATCTGTGCCAGATTATATTCTGGGCTCCCAAATATGTTTAATCTGCAAACCACACTATAAGTTTTTTGTCAATATCCTCGCATAAATATTATGCTGCTAAATATTATGTCCAACCTCCTCTCTCCTTTCCAGGATATAATTCTGCAGTTCATCTGTTTTAAAGCTTTTACTGTGGAAAAGAGACACAGTGATAGATTATGCTAACACTTCCATGTCTGAGCTAAATAGTTTTTTTACAAGACTTCCAGAGTAGTAGAAGTACAATATGCACACTTTTTTCATGCTAGTGAGCTTTCACATTGAATCACATCATTTTATAAAATCGCAGTCCATATGTGATGCAAAGCTGTAGTCTTACTCAGCATATTAGTTTGACCAGCTCCACAGTATGACAAAAAAGGACATATCTAAAGCTAAAGAGAGTGTCATATCAGAGCATAACATTTGTGATCTTACTTGCCATGTATATTTCAATTAAATTGGCAGCAAAAGTCTTACAGGAAGATCATTAGTGTGTTGTTGTTTTGCATACCAAAAAGAAACAAGCAGAATTGGAGAAGTGATGAGGACAGGCAACATTAATTTAATCTTAAAGAGATCCATGCAGCCCAAATAGTTGACTTTGAGTGCTGTGTAGCAGTTGGAAAAGAAAAGCTTTTGTTTTTCTTCCTGTATTCTGTCTCTGTGCGGGGTTTTTTTTAAGCCGGCTATATTGATGATCCCTAGGCACAAACTTGAAATGTTGATAATCACTTCTGTTGAAAATTAGTACAGCTGAGACACAGTCCACTGATCCAGAATCACACCCTCTGTATCTGAAGTCAGGCCTCTGCTTCCGTTGAGAGCTCGTCTCGCTCTCCAACAGATGATGGCTGCCCTCTAGTGACATAGATATTTCTTCTAGCAAAGGGAAAAAACACAGGCATGCACACATTTGCTTACCAGGGACTCTCTTGAAGATCAATAAGGAAACAAGAATGTTGACGATATCAGGAACTCATGTGCTACAGAACAGGGAACCCATAATCCTTAGGAAATGTATCAAACTGAAGAGTCAGATGTATTGTTCCATGTCACTGAAATGTTCTAAACCCATTTTCTGTTTAATTAAAAGCTTTCCCATTGTGCCAGAATTTGACAGTTCCCTTGTCATAGAAGCATGTTGTGGCTGTAACAGTAAAATAAGATTTAGGCTTCGTTCTGAAGGGGGGGGGGGGGAGAGAGATAAAAGCTGGAATACTCTGTCTCTCTTTCTGTGTGTGTGTGTCTCTTTCACACACCCAATTAACAATGTTACAGCATTGCAAATGGGCCACTAATGGGCAGCACTTTCATCTTGCAATTATATCGAATGGGTAAACTCTGTGTTATCTGTCATACAACAACAACCCTAAAACATTGCCATGTATGATATAAAGAGAAAGCTGAGTGTTGCATTTGCCCAGACCAGTGTTTTATTGTGGGTGTGTTCTGCAACGTGATCTTGAAGCAATAATAGTACATTACTGGTAGATTTATTTGCTTTAGTTTGTTCTGAGGTGCTTCTCCAGTGCTACTACATTATTGCTGTCTGGAGGGGCTGTAGTGCAGCAACAGCAGGGCAAAAAGAACCAGAACATTTACAGTATTAAAGTTTATGGGATTTAAGTAGGAAGTTACAAGATATGCACTGATTGGAAGTCCCAAAAGCTTTGCTGGGGCAAAGTGTATTGAAAGTGGCATCACGAGCAATTTAAAAAGATGTCTGGAAGGGCCCGTTTTTCCTTGGATTTGTACAAAATACATAATAACCATCTGGGAGAGCAATCCAACACTAAACTGGCAGGGAAGTGGAATAGGTTGGAAGTGTCCCTCTGCTCAACTCTCTTGGTTCACCACCAGCAATCCCATTTCTAAGAGATAAGGGCCCCAAGTATGGTAAAAAAATTAAACGGATCATATTTATTTATTTAACATATCTGTAACCCACCCTTCATCAGCTGATCTGAGAGTGGATTATAACATAAGCAACTACCCCAGTTAAAATGATATAGATAAAAACTGCATCCAATTAAAAACAAAGAGAGAGCAGAATAAAATGATTTTTTTTCATCCCCTTACTAGAAGGTTGCATTCGACTAAGTCCTACTCAAAGTAGATACGACCAAAATTAATCATATCCATTTCAATGGCTCTACTCTGGAGTATGGCTGGTATTGAGTACCACACATTGTTTCCTCCGGTATGTTTGCTAAAGTTTCACTCTGGTCTATTTAGCCACAGTATTAAATCTCCGAGTGTTTTTCCTGCAAATCTAATAGCTCCTCTCACTTGCTGGATCATCACCTTGTCATGGTGAGTAGGCTTGCACATTCCTATGACCCTTGTAAGTGAAGCCGTCAGGAATCTCATAGTCCAGCAGGGTCACCCAAGGTGGTAAGGTCAAAGGGGAGGAGAAAGACAAAAAAGAAGTCCTCAACAGCACAACAGGCAGAAGGTAACAAGCGGTATGTTACAACGGCCGTGAAGGCAGGTGAAGGCTGCAACAGATAAGAATCTACCGGTCGTTGTGATACTCATGCCATCGTAATAGAGCCTTACTGCGAAGACTGTGCATTGGTCAGCGTTCACTGATCTACACACATAAAACAAATTCACACACAGACATATTCCAAAAACCCATCCCAAACCTAACCCCAAAAAAGTCTCATGGTGATTGGCGAATGGTAAAGGGGGCAGGCCTGTGAAATCTGGAAGCCCTTAGTCATGAACTGGCACATGGTTGGCGGATACAGATTCAGTCGTTCTGACTCAAGGAATGAGGCCGTTGAGTAGCTCAACAACTGTATCCATGACTGAGAAGTCCTATTTAGGATCCACTATGCTCACCCCAAATAGGGGGAGAGGCTAGAAAGGGTGCCCTAAACATAGTCTGCCTCCCTTTTTCCCTGACTGGATTACCGTGCCCAGTGGGGTCACCACCCAGTGGTCGTAAAAGAAAATTGAACTTTGGAACATGGAATACACAGATTTTGTTGGATAACACCGATAATAAGTATCCCAAACACAGGATTGCCATCATTGCAAGAGAGTTTGAACATTGATATTGCAGTGCTTCAAGAAACTCAAAGAGCAGGAGAGGGACAACTGCAGGAAGAAAAAGGAGGTTACACATTCTTCTGGAAAAGTCTACCTGATCAAGAACGTCAAATACATGGAGTAGGCTTTGCTATCAAAAATGATCTTGTGAAGCTCTTGTCAGAAGTACCTACCAGCATTAATGAGTGACTTTCAACCCTTCAAATAAAACTCACCAAAAACCAACAGGCTACTATTCTAAGTGCTTATTCACCAACACTGGATACCAATGAAGACATTAAAGAAAAAATTTATATTCTCAGCTAGATGCCATCCTATCAGAGACGCCTAAGGAGGATAAAATTATCCTCCAGGGTGATTTTAATGCAAGAGTTGGGCGAGATTTGATCTGTGGTCTGGGACTATTGAGAAAGAAGGAATTGGCAACAGCAACCAGAACGGAATCTTACTTTTGAATATATGTGAAGCACACAACCTTGTTATTACCAACAACCCCTTTCGACAAAAATTTAAATAAGAAACATCATGGAGGCACCCTTGGTCGCACCACTGACATCTCTATGTAATTGTCTGAGCTGAAGATTGCCATGATGTGCTCCTTACCAGAGCTATGACAAGTGTTGATGACGGCTGGACAGATCACCGATTAATATGTTCCATGATGGCTGTCAAGATTATAATTCAATGCAGGTATTCTGATGGGATACCTGCCGGAGTATTCAAAGTGGATGGAACTGAACTTACACAACAACTTCACAAGCTCATTGGAAAAAAATATGAGAGAGAGAGAGTTCCAATTTACAAAGGGTGTCATGGACTTTGAAGATGCTCAAACTCAGGATGAAAGGAAGAAACATGCTAAGAGGAAGGCACGTTTGGTAAGCCATCACCGTGATCAACTCCAAGCCAGAAACCTATGTCCCCACTGTAGAAGGATGTGTGGATCCAGAATTGGCCTCCACAGTCACTTACGGACACACTGTTAAGACTGTGTTTGTAGAAGAGATTCTTATTTGGCTATGAGTGATCGCCAAAGGAGAAGAAGAAGAAGAGTTCCTCCAGATATGTGGTTAAAAATGACTGTGTGCACTCAATTAATATCTTCTTCCTTTACCTTTTGGATCCAAGAATGCCTTTTGTTTCGGTTCTTTACCATGCCACAGAGCTTCAGCAGCATCATGGCTATTACATGAAGACTTTTAAAAAACATTAGCAAAGGTTTTATTCTAACAATCATCACAAACTGGCTTGTGTTTGCTTACAGTTGTAGAATGTGCTCTTCATGATTTCCCGCAATGAAAGACTTTTTGAATATCCATAGGCAGCGCAGTGGGGGGGGGGGGGGAAGGTGGCCTTTTCTCCAGACCCTAGTTAATGAAACACCTTTCCTGCGAAGGGTTCAACCTCCTGAAAGTTGACAAAAAGTTGTGTTACCTAACTGCTCAGGGTCTGCATTGAATGCAAAGGCCCCTCGTTTCTATGTATGGGGAGGGGAAATCCAGGTTTGACCTCAACCTTTTGCTGATAAATGTCTAAAGTGCACAGCATTTGTATTTCTAGAGGCTGCACATTCTGACTACAATAAATAATTCTTCATTCTTCATTCTTGCTATGACAGGATTAAGGAGGAGGAGAAATTTGATTTGGGTAGGATTTTAATGTGAACCTACCTGATTTGCACTATCTGAAACTATATGTGAACCAAAGCACACTTTTAGAATTTGCACTTCTCTGAATTTTGTGATGCAGTTTGCAGCCAAATAATGTAGACATATATATTAGGGGAAAGTGCACATTAAAATACATATATTCATGAAAATAGCATATAAAATGCATTGTGTTAGAGAATACTGCTTGGAGGTAACTGCTTGGAGGTAACAGGAGAAGTTATCTCTCAGATTAAAGCCTAAATTAGTGTAGGGAACCCTCAAGTGGGGGACCCAAAGTTCATATTCTGAACCAAGGATTTATGAACTTAACCCATGTCACAGCTCAGTGTACCTTCTTACTTTTTCTGAAAGAATTTGCCTTGTTTCAGGTTTGCGTTTGCTTTTGCTATCACAAGGTATAATCCAATTTCTGCACACAGTTGGGCTTTGACAGCATCTCGGGCTTTCAAATAGGTTCACTGTCCACCAAGATCTTATTTCTACTTGGGGTTCCTCCCCCTTTCATAAAGCTGGATAATTTCACAGTGTTTTGTTTATATTCAAAGTACTGGTAATTATGATCTTGTATCTTAACTTCAGTTGTGAAACAAACACAGTAACAAACAAAACGCAGAATAACTATCTCAGCTTGAAACAATTAGGATTCTTAAGTAGAAAACTGGGGAATATAACTTTGATCAGATGCACTTGCTGCACGATATTGCTCTGAATAACTTGCTTCGACCTTGTGGTTTGCATGTTTTTGTTGTTTGCACGATGAATGTCACTGTGGCTGTGAATGTCTTGCCCCAAAACAGACTACGAAGTTGCAACAAGGACCATTTACATAAATGTTCTGAACCAGCTGTATGTGTGCGTGTGTAAAACCAGCTTGCATTAGGATATGTGCTTTCTGTTTAAAATAGCAATGCAGATGGCTGTTTGAAAAAATGGACAGATATGTGGAAAATGGGTTTATTAATGGCTACTTTTCATGATGGGGAACCTCTGTGATGAGAAGCACTTTGCTTTGCTGAATAACTGTGTGTCCAATCCATCTACTTTTCCAGTATCAACTCAGCAGGGGTTACCATGGAACATTCTTTGCAATGCAAGGCAAATCTTGGTGCAGTGGGTCAGTACATCTGCTTGTTAACCAGAAGATTGGTGGTTCGAGCAGTGTTGCATATGATCTGGCATGGTAGAGCTGGACAGAGATAAGGGAAGAGAACTTAAGCCTCTCATATTTTTCTTTATTTTCATAGTGAACTGGCATGTTGCCTGCACATCGACTGGAAGGGAGAATATTTTTATTTTATTTTATGCCATATGGGTGGTCTCTGTACATTGCTATTTCTCTATCCTTTCCCCCTAGAATGCCAGCGTTGTGCACATTCTGACTTTCTCTAGATTGCACGCTAACCTCAACCATTACTGGAAGTCCTCCTATGCCCAGATAAAGCAGCAATAAACCAGTACTGGGCTATCTAAGAGCTCAATGGCACATTGAAGATACTGTTGAGTTGAAGGCTATTAAAATGGTATGAAGAACCGTACAGGATTTTTGTTTTCATAGAATCATAGTTGGAAGGGACCCTGAGGATCATCTAGTCCAGGCCTCCGCAATGCAGGATTATGCAGCTGCCCCATACGGGGATTAAACCTGCAACCTTGGCATTATCAGCACCCCACATATGGCTATGCATTCCTTTGATTATTATATGCACAGTTGCAGTCCACTTTGCAGCACATGTAATCAAAATCACATTTGAAACATTATTTTCAAGAGTTTCGTTTGTGTCACAGTAACCTGATGACAATTTTCCACCTCCTTATTCTTCCTCCTCCTCATTATTATTAGTTAGCATCATGTTGTCTGCAATCTGTGACATGACCCATTTCAGTCAAGACAGCCATTATCGTGGAGTGACTCATCAGCAGAGCTGCCTCAAATGTTCATTGGAGATTTTATTTTTGACCAAGAAGCTCTTAAGATCTTGGCTCGTTTGTCTCTCCCTTTTCTCTCTCTCCCCTCCCTCATTGACCCTGTTTATCTAGCTGGCTCAGTCATGGGAGAATATGTTGCGGACATCATCAGAGGCCTATAAGTCTCGTCCCATGCTGGAAAGGGAAGCTAAAAGCAACTGACATGCAGACTATAACTTTGAAGAGCACCCCGAGAGATGGGATATGAATATGAAATATTCTTCTGAACAAGAGCAAAGAAAAAAAAAACAAATAGGAAGTGGAAAGCGGCAGCTGGGAGAAGCATAATGCAAAATCAATATGTTTGTTTTCAATAAATCAATGTGCTAATTCTGGTGGGATCCTTTGGCTGTGAAATGTAGGGGGCAAACAGAGATGACGGCAGTGGCGATTGCTCACTAGGGTCCTTCAGCTGTAGTTCCGGTGGTACTCTTGGATTGCAGTGGGATATCCAAGGATTTGAGGTCAAGCACCTTGGTTGTTCCAATGCAGCAGCACTGCAAATAGATCACTGAGGCATTGACATAGCAAAGCTTTATGTGGCATGCCACAGATCAAGATCACATAAAGACAGCACCTTGCCTTTTAAGCTGCCAGCTGTTCACTCCATTCCTGTTGTTACTCAGTACAGGGATTGCATATACTAACAGCAAAACCACTGTCCAATTGTCAGTCCTTATGTAGCCAAAACAGCACCATCCATGCACATTAGGGTAGCATTCACAGGCTTGAGGGCACCCAAAGATTTGCCATAGTACAAAAAAGAAACAAAGGGGGGAGGAAAAAGGGAAAACCCTAAGTAGAAGAAAACCCTAAAAACAACTTTGGCATAAGTGAGAATATTCAGGAGGCATGAGATGCAGAATGACTCTTGGTCAGGAACAGGGATTGAAGAGTGGAATGCAGGAAGGATGGAATGGAGTATACCGGGGAAAAGGGCATGGCTGGCTGGATTCCTGAACAGGAGAATTCCACACTGCACCATTTTGTTGCAGGCCCCACTTGTGGTGAAGAAAACATTAACTCAAATGTGAACTAGCATAAACTAAATTACCTGGCCAGGATCGAGAAGATGGGAAATCTATTAAACAGAATTACTCTCTGCTATAATAGAAGTATTGTATGTATCTGTTGGGCTTAATGTGTTAAAAATTCGCTGAGATAAATAAAGCTGCTGAACCACCTTACTGCCATTTTGAATGTGCGGTTGCAATTTGAGGTGTTAATTGTATTAACAACTGCAGAGAGTTGCTGGCTTCTAATACTACTCTCAACATTCACAGATAATGTGGGTGGGTGGGGGGAGATTGCTGAAATGGCATTGTTCCAGTTGTCTTGTTTACTGAGCTGTTCTTTTTGCTACCTGCGTTCCCAAACCTTCTGCTGCATATGCAAGTCCTTGTTGCATTTTGGCCCAGTTCATGGCATGCATGTCTGCTGCAACTTGCACATGTGAATGAGCACTCTCTGGAACTTCCTTCAATGGCACTGCTTAATGTACAGAGCTAAGTCAAATGTTCTATAGGGATGGGTGGATCAGTCTATTTCTGGTCCATGCCAGTTCACATGTGTTCACTCGTAAATTGTTTGCATCCCACTTCCACATTAATCTGTGAATTGTTGGTTTCCAAATCTGAGCAAAACACACACACACATTTGAGTACATATTTATAGTAAATCTGTATTTGAATCTGTATTTTTATCTCAGTGTACATATTTCTGTCCTGTAATAGTTGTTTTCATTCATTCTGGTGCTTTTTGCGCTGAGAACTGTATTGCAAAATTAAAAGAATTGCAAAATCCAAAGGAAAATTACTTACCAATCTGTGTGTTGGTCCAGGAGGTGTGAATTGTGTCAATTCACTTAAGATACAGATTGACCTAAACTCTCCTCCAAACCCAATCTTGCAGTTCTCAAGCATCATGTTAGTGGGTCCAATACAAACTTAGAACACCCCAGTAATGGTCTTTATTTAAAAACAGAAAGATTCAGTACTGTCCTTCTTTAAACCTATTTGTTTATGCTTCTTTAAACATCCTTATCTAAGCTCCTGGCTGCTCAATTTCTACTTACAAGAAGGCATTGCACAATGGTATATATGCATATAAATTAGAATCATAGAATTGTATAGCTGGAAGGTACCCCAAGAGTCATCTTGCCCGACCCCCAGCCAGGCAGAATCTCAACTAAAGCATCCCTGACAGATGGCCATCCAACCTCTGCTTAAAAACCTCCAATGAAGGAGAGTCCACCACCTTCTGAGGGTGTCCATTCCACTATCAAACAGCTCTTACCATAGAAAGATCTTCCTGATGCTTAGTCAGAATCTCCTTTCTCGTATCTTGCATCCATTGGTTCTTGTCCTAGCCTCTAGAGCTGGAAAAAACAAGATTGCTCTTTTTTCCTATTTGACAGCCCTTTAGATATTTGAAGGTTACTATCATATCTCCTCTCACTTTCCTTTTTTCCAGGCTAAACATTACCCAACTCCCTCAGCTGTTTTATCTATTGAGACCATACGCAAATGCCTATTAGATCTTGTTCCCTGTTCCTGGGATCTCATGCCAGTTCTTACATGTACTTTGGAAATAGCATCCATTTACTCTCTCATATTCTGAAGCCTTTAAATTTCATCCGCAAAAAGGTTCCTGAGATCTTGGCACCCCTGTTGATTATTATCCTTGTCCTTCCTGCTAATAGTCTGCTGCCATAACCCACTCGTACCTCTTCCCTGTGCATAGAAAATGTCATCAAGCATTAAAGAATTCAAAGAAGTTCTCAGGAAGGCATGTCATATAAGGTCGCACACTTCCCTCTGTTTCTCAACCTACTAGAGTTTCCTATACAACTTTCTTCTTGGAAGGCATAGGCTAGCATATCTAATGTTCTAGCACTGTTTCTCATTGTTACCAGCAAGTCCCACATTTTCCTACATGATCTGGGCACCCTACATAAATACAAGGGGTTACGTCTGTGCAAATATCCTCAAGCAAGATGTACAACAATATAGCCTTATTTTCTTTTTATTTTGGTTATGGACTTACTGCCCATGTCAAGGACTAGATGCCCAGGGCTAGATAAAGTGTCTCCTTTTCCTCCTCCCATGCTAGGGGGCCTATGGGCAAGAAATAAATGTGCATGCATGAACCATCCTGCTTTTAAAATCAGGCATGGTCTTTGTTACAGTTCGCCTAGTGTAATAGGAGGTGTCAGCCCTGTACACACTTACCTGAGAGAAAGCCCCACTGAATGAAGGGGAAATTGCAGTTGGGAAAACATGTACCTCTTCTGATGCTATTACAGTAATCTAATACAAGTATTCTTACTGTTTTTCTTACTGGAAGCAGACCCGAAGAATGTAAGCATCACACTCTAGAATGAATGGAGTTCTACTGCCGGATCCAATTTGCATAAACAAATGATGTTCCCTTCTTTTCCATCCTTTGTATTTCTGTATTCCCATAGCTCTCCCTGCCCAAACACATACACAAACAATGAGGGACTGATGTTAAAGCCCTGGTGTGTGTTTTTAAAAAAGTAAATTACAATTGTTAAAATAATATGAATGCAATTTCAATTTCCTTCTGAATTATTTGTGGCTACTTGATGTGAGTTGCACTTATTTAGATTGGCCTCCCATACATCTGCAGTCAGAATGCAGAACACTGCAGGAAGTTGCTGCTGACTTGTACAATGAGATATATTACTGCTAACAGGGAGCCTGAAGCCTTGATTAGTTTGTTGTAAACACTACAATCATGTTTGCATGCTTCCATTCACTTTGTGGGCTGTGTATTAGATGGATGATATTCATGCTGAAAGCTGCAATTTAATTACAATAAGTCTGTTCCCTATACAATTTTGTCAGTGTCATCCTATTACATTGGTTGTGAACCATTACATGGTTCAATACAGCATGCATCATCATGTCAGACGGATAATGCCACACAATGGCTCAATTTTAGTTTTATTTTTTCCACTCTGTCTCCCAGATTGGTATTGATTGTTAATTATTATTAACTTCACAACTTCTGGTGAACTGAAGCAAGGAGACAAAAAGAAGAGATCAAGTTATTATTATTTTTTATGATGGAAGATATGTGCACTGGGATGAATTGACATCAGGACGAATTAATTGCATGGATGTCTGGTTACTTGCAAGTTCACTAACCAACTTTGGATCAGACTTTGTACTTCAGTTTTTATTTGCAAGTGGGGAGAAAATCTATTAAGTATTCTCCAGAGGGTTATAGAAAATCCACTCACCTTTTTACTAAGTTTGGTTTTCAAAGGACTACACAAGCAGCATGCTACACATCCATTTTCATTCTGTCTTTGGCAACTGCTTATATAACCAAATAGGATAACCATTTGCAACCCTCAAATATAAATTTTGCCTACTACTTAAACAAGCCCCTTTCTACTGTGCAACTAGCATCATGACAGGGCTGGGACACAGGTGTGGAGCTAGGAACCAGAGGTCAGGAATTTGCCAGGAGTTAGATCCAACAGGCCCAAGAGCAGACAGGAGTCAGAACCATTGAAACATGGAAATATTCAGACACTAAAGACAAAGCCGACAATTTAAGCCTAGGAACGAACCAGAACAAAAACCAGTGGAACCAGAGTGCAAATTGTTGTTCATGCAGTCTTAACCAAAAGAGGAAGTCCTCTATAGCCTTTCCTAGTGGCTGATTTGAGTAGGCAGAGCTTGAAAATACATCATGGCCCTACAAAGAGTCTTTAGACTGCAGCTCTGGTGCTTCACCACCACAACACAACTTGCATGTTCAGACCCAGAAACCTCCCCCTAAATAAATTCACACTTGACTCAAAATTTTGGTTTGGTTTTTGGCAGAATTTAGGCCACAACATTATTGATTACAGAAAGTGACTGGTTGCATAGGCTCTGGTTCAACTAGCTCCCTGCCACGCAGGTAGCGCTGACCCAGGGAACCAGCATAGATCAGCCAAGGGTGAACATCTGGATAAGTGGAAAGCCAGGAACGGGCTAACTCCACCACCCAAATGTCCCCCTGGACTCAGGCACAGGCACAACGCCCTCACAGGGGTTGACCAAACCATCGAGTCCCTGGATTCCTTTAACGGAATACCCTACATACACCTGAAGCAGAGCCTATCCGATACCTTACAAGTTGTGATGATGTGCTACGCAGCAGGCAAAACCCAAATGGCAACAGCAAAACAGCCAAGTAGGGGAAATTCCTGCCATGCCCCTGTCCCAACGACACACGACAGCATAACAAGGTCAAGTGCAACAAGCCCTAAAAGTAGGGAGAGGTGGGCAGGTGTTCCGAATGCACATGCTGAAAGAGGAAGCTCTGGGTCACGGACATGGGCATAAATAGGTCCCTCAGACTGTTTGAACTGTGTCCCTTTGGCCAGATTGTACCCAGTTTTGAAGGACCTACCAATTGGGTGTTGTGGCTTACCAATTGTACCCACCCACAACACAGGGTGTTGGTTGTCCAGGTCTCACTGCAATAAGTGCCCTCTTTAAGGGAGGACCCAATTTAATACAGTACTGTATTATAAATCTAGTATGAGTTGCTACCTACAAGCAGGTTGACAGAAGCCCATCTGTTACATGTACAGTATGTAACATTGGGCTCAGCTATCAGCAGCTTCTTGGATGCCCCAGTAAAGAAAGGAGAGTAGCCAACTTCTTATGAAACTTCACAACTTCAGAATCTAGTTTTCTGGAGGCTCAACGCAGGTGCTGCAGTTCGTTTTTTATATGCAGTTATTTGAAGGTAAAACCAGTTCATCAGCAGGCTTTATAACATCACATTTATCCCAACTGGTGGGCATTGCTCAGTTCCTACTGCTACTTTTTCCAGGCTCTGACTGTGTAAACACAGATACAGCTTCCACGTGGATCTACCAGTTCATACACATGTTCCTCCATGTCATCCTAGAAGAACAGGGAGTTGTGTAAAGTGAAAAACAAAGAGCTCCAACCACATTCAGAGGTTCTGGTTTTAAAGATTATTGTTATGTTCTTATGTAGGTAGCCCCTTGAATGCTCTCAGCTATCTGTCTGCTTGTCAATATCATGGAAATAAGGCTGCCAATGGCTACTAGTCATGATGGCTATGCCCGGCTTCCATAGTTGCATTAATGCTTCTTAATAACAGTTACTGGAAATATGGGAGGAAGAGTGCTCTTGTGCTCAAGTCCTTCTTGTGGGGTTTCCACAGGCATCTAGTTGACGACTGTGAGAACAGGAAGCTGGACTAGATGGGCCGGATCCAGCAGGTTCTCCTTGTTCTCTTATACAGTATTAATGTCCTACTTTTTCAGCTGGAAGTGAAAAAGCAGGATATTTATCCTAATCCTCATTTATCCTAATTGAGCTTCGTTTACCATTGCTTTTATATACAGTTATCCTTTCCCACAGTAAAATATGTATGTAAGAAAAAGGTGGGGAAAAGAAACTTCAAAAGGCACATTTTTTTGGTATAATTGTCTCTTTTACATTTCTACACTATTCACCTCTGTCCTTTCAGTTCTTGGCAGATCCAAAATTGAAAAGGCTCTGCTAAGTAACAATGCCTTGTTTCATTCAGGAAAGAAAAGCAGGGCTAAAAAAGAAAATGCAGGTAGTTCACACTGTGATGGTTCTTTTAAAAAAGGGATCTTGATTTGAATGGGCTTCTTTACAACATGTGTGCATGTATGTGTGTGTGTGTGCAAGAGAGAGGTAGAGAGATTGGCATGTGGTGAGACAGTTGAGGTGTCCTGATATTTATTGATTTTTAAGAGTTTGGGAAAATATGCTTTAGGCTCATTGAGAAAAATGGTGAAACCAATAAAGGAGGAAAGAAAGACAAGCAGGAGTGGAGAGAGGAAACCTATCATAGATTGTTCTTCCAGACAGGCCACCAGGTAACCTGAGCCAGATTTCCCCAGTACTACCTTCAAGGCTGTATTACATTAAAATGAAAACTTTTACCTTGTTGTCTACTAGCACAATGAAATGCAAAGTGCCTGAAGAAGCTTCACCACCCACCTTTGCAGTTCTAGCAAGCATCAACATTTCACAGGGCGGTGGCCGCATTGTAGTTATCTGCCATTTTTTTTAAAAAAACTTAATAATATGTGGCCAACTGTATATTGCAAATGCCTCTCAAATGCCTCTCAAATGTTTCTAACATTTTTTTTATTGTGAGCTCCCATGGCAGGTGAAAACAATTCAACATACAATATTAAAACCAGTTCAAAATAAATTACAATCAAAAGAACAAAACGGGGGCTTAAAATATAAAGAGCTGTGTCCAAAGTATATGTACAGAAAAGTCATATGTACTGTGTCTCATGTGTTTGAGTGCCATTTACAGCCATTCTGTCAAGTTAACAAGTCAATGAGAGATTTGAAAGTGTTTTGGGACCTCTAGATCTGACTGTTCACCTCAACAACAAATAGAGCTAATTTTGGGAATTGAACCATCAGTCCCTAATTAGTTCCTAAATAAATCTATTCTGGTACTATACTGAGAAATTGAAGTTGTCTTCTATGTCTCTAAATATGTCCAGAATGTTGATAGCCTTGTTTTGAGAATGACGTGTATCTCCAGGATTGGACACCTTTGCAGGATGACACCAGCTGCCTCCACCATGATCTGGCATGGAACCTGGAGGTGGGGTCTTTTCCCAGGCTGGTGCAATGCCAAATTGGTCTTGCATCAGCCTGGGAATTGACTTTTGGCCTGCTAGTCATTTCGCCAATCACTGATGGGCTGGGTGCCTGGCTCCGCTTTTGGGGACAGACCAGACTGGACCAGCAAACTTCACTCCGGTCCACCTCTGGAGTAGTTATGCCCGGCCTGCCACTACCACCTCATCCATTTCCTTGTTTTGAGAATTTGCCATTTAAGCAAGCCTACTTTAAAAGATTTTTATTACATGAAATGTGGCAGAAAGGAATTAAGATCCCAATGTAGTTGATGAGACCAGAGTGCAAAGCAGCTTTATCACAAGAAAAAAGAAGTGTGGTTATTTTAAGCCTGCTATAAAAAGGAAGTCCAAGCCTTTCACCTGCAGGTTCATCTGAAAGTGATTGTTTCATGCCTGGACTAAGAGGCCACAGACTAATTAGTATTATACAGGAATGGGATACATCCAACTTTTCTGATGAGAGAAAGACACCAGCCTTCAAGACTATTTACTGCTTTTCTGTTCCTTACAAAACAGTCTAGCTCTTACAGCTCTGGAGATAAGCAGAACCTCCATAACACAAAGGCAATTTTCCTTCATTTGGCACTGAAAACAACACGATTCACTAGATTTCAGTGAAAACTTTGTACCACCACCTCACTGGTGATTATTTACAGTAGCCATCTAAGTTTATTTCAAAGGAGTTTCAGTCAAGGCTCTGAACAACTTTGTATTTGGTACAGAAATTGAGCAAAAATGAGTTTCATTCACTGAAAACATGCACCTGATTTCCTCGCAGAATTAATCAGAAAATTATCAACTTCCTTGCAATATTTCCCCTTGAAAGAGAATTGTATGCTGCCTGTACCAAACACTGGGAAGAAACAACAACATACTTTCTATGACATCTGAAATAGAGAACATTCACAGTGAACATTTCTCACACAGAACATTTCTTCCCACCAACAGAGGGGCTATGTCAGAAAGAGAAAGATTTATAATTTGAAAAGGCCACATTTCTCTTGTACAAGCCATGGTTTTGTGTTGTTTTGGGAAGTGAAAAGAAAGTGGTACATGGTGGGTGAGGGAAGTGAGATGTTATTTAAGTTAATACAGTGTGATTGAGTACAAGAGAAAGAAAACCCTTTTACATACTACATACCACATTCTTATCTCTCTGGTACCCTCAAACAGATTGCACTCAGCAGAAAATACACGCCGTCAATCATTCTATATCTATCCCAGCAGTTTTATTTCATACTTCACTTTCTTGCCTTTCAAAGCCATGTGTGCACCACACATTCCTTCCGAGAGCAATACAGTCCAGGGAGCAGCTGTATCTTAACAAGTAACGCTCAGTAAATCTCATTCGCACATATAAAGTCAGTTCCAAACAAAACTCATTTCACAGATGAGTTCTACTCTCTATGTTCAGGTGGGAAGGTAAAGGAACAGGCATCCCTGCTTGACCCGAGGAAGCCTGAGTCTATCTTTGCCTGCCCCTTAAAATTTTATAGGCCTATATCTGCTGCTATGTCAATTACAGATCAGACGATGGTTTGTTTAATGGAGTGTGGACTGGATTTGTGGCCAAGGTTCCTTGTGTGGCTACTGGAGCTTAGCTGTTCAAACAAAATGGAGCCCCAATGTACCGTGGTGATGACATACCTCTATGGCATTTGAAGTTGGTATGTTCCAAGATCCCCACAGTTGAACAAATTATTCAGTTCCAAACTTCATTTCCTACAACAGAAGTACTGTAAAGAACAAACATCTATACTCCTAAGCACATGTAGCTGAGGACATTATCAGTCCAATTAAAAATAAATAACAAATGGTTCGATTTGGTTCTCTCTTTTTGTTTATATCGTCTTATTCACATAACTAACATAGGAATGCCTTAATTGAACCTTTTTCTTCACTTGTTACCATGTGTCCTTATCTACACATACTTATGAGCACACATGTGAACTCAGGTTTCAACAGCAAACCTAAAAACATGGTGCATTATGATAGGAAATGGTATTGTTTTAGCTCCTTAAAAAGATAGCTGAGGGAAGCACAGGAAATGGTAAACAGACTCAGTCTCACCTCTACCCACCTCCTCCATAATTTTGATGCAGCAAATATTAATTTTGGGCAGGGGATTCAAAGCCTTAGCTCCTTTGTGTTAAATAAAATTAAACTACTTTAGTTTCTCTAAGCACTTTTAAGTTATTAGTCTTGATTAAAATTCCAGTAAGTCAACTCAAACATGTTGCTACAGTGAACCTTTAACCTGTTCTCACTTTTGCTACAGCTATAACAAATTAGACACTGTCCTGGCATTCTACAGTCATAAAAGCCCAAGTATAGAAAGCTTTAATATTTTCCACTTTTCCACTCTGTTCTAAGGTATTTTTATATGGAAATATTAAATTTCCATATATGCTAACCTTAAATCACTTCAGTATTAATTCTAAAAACCCTAATGGTTTTAAATAAAACATTGTATGGATATAAGCATTCAAGGGCATTAGGGTGTCTCTCTGACTTAGGGCACATCTCAAGGACCTGTTTATTGACCATTTATTATGATTTGCTTGCACAAAGCTTACACAGAGGTTAGGCTGCATCCAATCTTGATGAAACATTCATTCTGACTTGTCTCCAGGGAGGTTTACTATCAATGAGCAGTCATCCTGATTTGCATGTGGGATATTTGTGCATCTTCCCGTGAACCATTCATTCACCCCACACTTTCCCTCCAAATCTCAAAAAGCCTTGTTACACCTGGGCAGCAAAACTCGCTTTTATTGTGCAAACCTAAATTTCCTGTATTCACGTGATGCTACCAACCTATTGCTACTAGTAGTGGTAGCAATAGAAGTAAAAGTAGTAGCAGGCATTTATCCTCTTATTAGTAGTAGTATCACTAGTCTAGGCACTATATGGTATACTCCATTTTCTTCTACCTTGGTCTTCAACAAAAAACTCATAGATTACACTGAATTCTTGACTACTTCAAGGTGAGAAAAAAATGAATCTTCTATCCCAAAGCAACTAATAGCTGCTATTGGTAATAGTCATACTATTATCCAAGGAACAGACTACGCTGCATTTTAATAAATCTTTATTAATTTTTAAAATACATTTCATTTTTATTCTGTAATCTAGCCACAGATGTTGAAGCACTCACTGGGTGTTTCTTGCCTGAGTTTTGACTGGTATATTGTTCCAGGTAATTCTGTTCAAAGAAAAATACAAACACATATTAGAAAACCAACAAGTGACAACAAGAACACAATTTTAACGACCCTAACATATAAAATGAGGAGCGTAATCACTTTGGGCTGTAAATAAACACAGATGCAGATTAGGTAATGGAATAATAAAGTCACCGTGTTCAATATACCTCCTATTTAATTCAGTTGCAAAACTTGTCATTGATTTTAATGCAGTTGGATTGCATCCATAATTTGCAGACTTATGTTTTAACTAGCCTGACATTTGAAGATTTTCTTGTTCACTGGTGTTCTAAAATTAGTATGCCTGAAATGAACCTTAAGAACTGTTTTTCTTCTTCTTCTCCTTTAGAGTAATAATTATACTCTGTCACTTTCTGTCTTTGCACATTTTAAGCTACACATAGCTTTCTACGTTGACACCACATCTTACCTTTGTCTTCAGCCTTTGAAATTCCAGCAATCTTATTGCCAGTTTGGATTTCAATTAACATTGTTAAACTGGAACCAAAAATAGCTTATGGCATGTTATTCTTTTCCACTGGGAAATGAATGACCTCCATTGTCTTTTAAACATGATTTGTAGGACTAAAAACTACCTAGCTTATTTCTCATTCCAGTATACTCAGAGAGTCTTCTGCGGTTATGAGATACAGAGGAACAGGAAGCACACTAGCCCATACTTCCTGTCCTCTGCATTTCTTCATACTAACATAAAGAAGGCTGATCGCCGAAGAATTGGTGCTTTTGAATTATGGTGCTGGAGGAGACTCTTGAGAGTCCCGTGAACTGCAAGAAGATCAAACCTTTCCATTCTTAAGGAAATCAGCCCTGAGTGCTCACTGGAAGGACAGATCCTGAAGCTGAGGCTCCAATACTTTGGCCACCTCATGAGAAGAGAAGACTCCCTGGAAAAGACCCTGATGTTGGGAAAGATTGAGGGCACAAGGAGAAGCGTATGACAGAGGACGAGATGGTTGGACAGTGTTCTCGAAGCTACCAGCATGGGTTTGACCAAACTGCGGGAGGCAGTGGAAGACAAGAGTGCCTGGCGTGCTCTGGTCCATGGGGTCACGAAGAGTCGGACACGACTAAACGACTAAACAACAACAACAACAACAACATAATGTTCCAACTTCTCCTCTTTTGAGATGTGCAAACTCTTGATGCAAGGACAGAACAGATGTATAAGTAAAAGGAAGACCAGGGCACTGGAGGCATAAGGCACTTGGGCTTCCTGTTCTTTTCTGTGTTCCTGAAGGCGAATTGATGGAAGGAGCGTCTCCACCCCCATCGTTCTGCCCGGACGCTGAGGTCCAGCGCCGAGGGCCTTCTGGCGGTTCCCTCATTGCAAGAAGCAAAGCTACAGGGAGCCAGGCAGAGGTCCTTCTCGGTAGTGGCGCCCACCCTGTGGAATGCCCTTCCAGCAGATGTCAAAGCGATAAACAACTGCCTGACATTCAGAAGACATCTTAAGGCAGCCCTGTTCAGGGAAGTTTTTAATGTGTGATATTTTAGTGTATTTTTGGTTTCTATGGAAGCCGCCCAGATTGGCTGGGGTGGCCCAGCCAAATGGGCAGGGTATAAATAATAAATTATTATTATTATTATTATTATTATTATTATTATTATTATTATTTTCTTTTAGCAGATTTCACAATTGATTGTGGGCTATAATCATATAGACATGCAGAAGCAAAGAGGAAGCTAACACAGCTGTTCAGGGCTGGGCATATGGAAACTCCCTCTCATGCAGCTGTTCAGGGGTCAAGATTGCTCTGCCCTGCAATGTGTTATATCTCTGGATGCCTTTGGGTACTTGCACACTTCAATAAATGTAAAATGTAGTAGGCAAACTGTTGACTGGGGACAGCCAATTTGAACACATTTCATCAGTATTAAAATATCCTCACTGACTTCCTGTGCGTTTCTGAGAATTCTTCTTCTTCTTCTTCTTCTTCTTCTTCTTCTTCTTCTTCTTCTTTCTTCTTCTCTTTCTTCTTCTTCTTCTTCTTCTTCTTCTTCTTCTTCTTCTTCTGCGATCACTCATAGCTAAGTAAGATTGTCTTCCATAAACAGTTTTAACAATGAGTCCGTAAGTGACTGTGGAAGCCAATTCTGGAACCACATGTCCTTCCACAGTGGGGACATTGGTTTCCAGGAGGGAGTTGATCACGGTGTGGATTTGCCAAGAGTGCCTTCCTCCTAGCACATTTCTCCCTTTCATCCTGAGTTTGAGTGTCTTCAAAGCCCATGACACCTTTGGTAAAGGTTGTTCTCCAATTGGAGCATTCGCAGGCCAGTGTTTCCCAGTTGTCAGTGTTTATACTACTTTTTTTTTAGATTTGCCTTGAGACAGTCTTTAAACCTCTTTTGTTGACCACCAGTATTACACTTTCCATTTTTAAGTTCGGAATAGAGTAGTTGCTTTGGAAGATGATAATCAGGTATCTGCACAACATGTCCAGTCCAATGAAGTTGATGTTGAAGAATCATTGCTTCAACACTGGTGATCTTTGCTTCTTTGTTTCTGAGAATATTTCATAGTTTTTAATACTGCATATGGTTTGAGGCCAGGAATAAGAAAAGGATAACTAATTCCCATATATGAAGCTGGTCATTGTGATCTTATTCAGTGGCCCTACTCTGATTGTCACAGATTCAGAGGATGGTTGCTGCTAGACATCCTAGAGATGTTCAACTCACACCATTTTGGAAGGTTTTTTTTTATGCCAGAACAAAGCCATTGTTACACAGAGTTGCTGCTGATGGCAGTTTGATTTTGATTAATGTAAGCCACCTTTTAAACTGCGTAAATTAAAAGGCAAGTAGTGTGTGCTTGTGTGATTTATTGACCAATTTATCAATCACCTTTTACATGTGCCTCAAAGTGATTTACAAACAAATCATAAAAAACAGTTTTCATAATTGGTTTTCAAAACAGTACAGAAACATCCGTGAAGATGTGCTGAAAAACAGTACAAAAGGAACTCCTAATGCAGAACCCTTTCCATCCAGCTCAAAAAGTTCATTGAAGCAAACATATCTGCAGCTGTTTCTGGAAAGTACAATAGTAGGCAATATTTCAGTTTATTTGCTCTCTCTTTTACCATTATTTGTGTAACTTGCTTTGAATATCTACCATTGAAAAATGAGTGAGAAATACTTCAAAATAAATAGATGGCAGTCCCCCTCCACATTTCTTCAGTAGTTCTTGCTTTAGTTTCTAAAGTATGTGCAGAAAGTGAAGGTAATTCCTTGAAGGTGGGGGAGCAATGTCAGAACTGAATGCTGTGTTTCAACTTCTGTCGGCTGCTTTTTCAGGCTACTGTCCTACTTATTTCCTGTCTCTTGCATTTAGAACTGCTTTTAAAAAATCTACTAGCTTAGATAACACATATCTGAAAAACAGAGGCTGTCATTTGTCAGAAATAAAACCTTAAACACTCAGTGCTGTTCTCTCCCCCCCTTTTTACTTTCCATAACTTTCATGAATTTCAAGCCCAGAATTTAGGCCTAGACACTTGTCTGTCTCTTATCATATCTAAATCTATTTGTAAGGTGCTCAGCACTTCATCCAGTGAATGAAGAGATAGCCAGCATTATTTCAGAGAAAGAGAGAGGCATTGTGGGAATGTTAAGGATTATCAAGCCTTCTGAGTGTTTGTCCCTATCTGGAAATTATTTGTTAATGAGCGGAAAGTCCAGCAACATCAATCGAACTGAATGATCTGAGATTTGCTGTATTTATCTCTCAAAAACAAGAAGGCAAGTAGAAATGTGTTCAAATGATAAGATTCATAGAGCCATTACCTCACAGAGCAGGAATTTTCTGGAAAATCTCTACAGCTACATGAACAGACTGTATTTGAGCCAGATTTAAAAGGAAACGTAGAAGCCATCCTGTAAATGTAATTATGTCCATAAAGGTCCAAATAGTTTAGGAGGCTATAATACCAAGTTCTCCCCATGAGGATAGGGTTAAAGTCAAGTGGAAGTCTGAAGCAAAACTGACTTTGTACTCAGATCAGTTCACAGAAGACAATAATTCAACCTGTCAGTGCACCCCAAGTATATATATTTCAGTTGCTTAGCCTCACTGACAGGTTCTAGTCAGGGGAGATTTAGGATTGCAAATGTTAACCCTGAGTTAGCAGTGCAATGTTCAGGAAGACAGTTTGCGATCATTTATCTGATGGGCATCTCAATTGTACCATTTTTCACAGAACAAAGGGGTCATACAGAATACAGCTGAGGAGCAACTGAGGGGCAACTGAGTCAATTCTATAGCAAACAAGAACAGAAGGGGAAAGTCTCTTGCCAAGCAGATTATATCAGGTTATACTGCAAGTGGATTATATCAGATTTATATTGCAAATGGTTTAGGTTAGAAATGATGGCTGGGGTCAAAAGGCCCTCACAACTAGTTCCACATGCTCAGAAAGGGATCTGGGCTGCCTTGTGCCACAAGACAAACCCTTTTGAAATGTAGGAGATTTTCAAAAGCAGTTTTTGTATCATATAAGACAGCGGTTCCAAAACTTGAGCTCTTTGGATGAAAGGCAGAGAATCTATCTATCTAAATTTAATCTCCAATGTACTAGCTCAGATCTTACCTCCACACATCCTTTGCAGTTAATGCTTATTGTTGTTTAGTCGTTTAGTCGTGTCCGACTCTTCGTGACCCCATGGACCAGAGCACGCCAGGCACTCCTGTCTTCCACTGCCTCCCGCAGTTTGGTCAAACTCATGTTTGTAGCTTTGAGAACACTGTCCAACCATCTCGTCCTCTGTCGTCCCCTTCTCCTTGTGCCCTCAATCTTTCCCAACATCAGGGTCTTTTCCAGGGAGTCTTCTGAATGTCAGGCAGTTGTTTATCGCTTTGACATCTGCTGAAAGGGCATTCCACAGGGTGGGCGCCACTACCGAGAAGGACCTCTGCCTGGCTCCCTGTAGCTTTGCTTCTTGCAATGAGGGAACCGCCAGAAGGCCCTCGGCGCTGGACCTCAGCGTCCGGGCAGAACGATGGGGGTGGAGACGCTCCTTCCATCAATTCGCCTTCAGGAACACAGAAAGAACAGGAAGCCCAAGTGCCTTATGCCTCCAGTGCCCTGGTCTTCCTTTTACTTATACATCTGTTCTGTCCTTGCATCAAGAGTTTGCACATCTCAAAAGAGGAGAAGTTGGAACATTATGTTGTTGTTGTTGTTGTTGTTGTTTAGTCGTTTAGTCGTGTCCGACTCTTCGTGACCCCATGGACCAGAGCACGCCAGGCACTCTTGTCTTCCACTGCCTCCCGCAGTTTGGTCAAACCCATGCTGGTAGCTCGAGAACACTGTCCAACCATCTCGTCCTCTGTCATACGCTTCTCCTTGTGCCCTCAATCTTTCCCAACATCAGGGTCTTTTCCAGGGAGTCTTCTCTTCTCATGAGGTGGCCAAAGTATTGGAGCCTCAGCTTCAGGATCTGTCCTTCCAGTGAGCACTCAGGGCTGATTTCCTTAAGAATGGATAGGTTTGATCTTCTTGCAGTCCATGGGGCTCTCAAGAGTCTCCTCCAGCACCATTAATGCTTATTGCTTCATTGCAAATATATTGAACAGCAAACATAAAATGCACTTGCCAATGGTGTCTTATTCCTTTAAGGCAGGCATAGGCAAACTCGGCCCTCCAGATGTTTTGGGACTACAACTCCCATCATCCCTAGCTAACAGGACCAGTGGTCAGGGATGATGGCAACTGTAGTCCCAAAACATCTGGAGGGCCGAGTTTGGGGATGCCTGCTTTAAGGGCTCAAAACAGGAGTCCACCAAAATCTTTCCCATGTTCACTTCACCCTCAGAGCTAGCTTTCTTTGGACGTTAGGGATTGGAGTGTTGAGAAAGGTGCTAAACCAGCCGCAAATCTATCAGAAGGATCCCTGGAAGTGGCCATTTTCCTTCTCGGAAAGGAAAGGATTTACCTCATCACGCTGCACTATGTTGCAGACAATTGAAGTGAGAACACTGCTATCATTCTAGAGACATATGGGAGGCAGGGGGAAATGGCAGCCACAAGTTAAAAAAAAAAAAATGCCATTGCCAGTAGATGGGGGATTAAAATATATAATTTTCTTCTTCGGTTGCTCATTTGCTCATATTTAGTTGAGGGAGGGAGAAATAATTTACACATGGGAATATGATGCCGTAGCCGTGTCAGCTCACATCAATGCACGGAATTATGCATGTGATATATTTATTTTTGTTATATATTTTTTTAAAAGTTTCCTATCCACAACCCACCCTCACCCCTAACACCTACCAGGAACCATGTGACTTGAAAGGTTTTGGGAAGTAAAGCATCTGCTTAACAGAGACACAAGTCTCTCATTTTCCTGTTTTGAAGTAGTCAAGTCCACAAACCTCCCATGCTCAGAATCTGCGTTTGGGTTGGATGAGCCCCAGGTTCTTGGGGTGCTTATCTGGGTCTTATCTAAATTACGCGAATCTCTGGAGCTTAGAAATGGAAATATTTGGACAAGAACAAATAGACACCACTAGTCTTTCAGGCAGGATTTCTGAACACCCACCCCACCTGAGAACTAGAAACGCAGATTCAAATAATGTAGGGATGCCTTTTCAGAGGTGTAGAGAGAGATTTCAGGAGGGAAGATTTTCATCTAGGCTTAAATGCCCCATTTTAAAGGAAAAACCTGCTTACATAGCTCCTTACTTAACCAGTGAGACTTAATGGGGCCCTACATTTTTCACCCCATAGCATATCTTTGCCTCGGAGCAAGCAACATAATGATTAACATGACTCATAAAAAGACTTGGAATTTCAGGAAATTAACAGGTGCTTTCCAGCAACAGCCTGACCTTTTATATTTTTCAACAGCTTTAGTGAAATGTCTTCATGGGAAATGTCTTCATAACTACATCTTACATTGGTTTATATGGATGTATACATTACCCAACACTTTCTGCACTGGACCACCCACTCACACATCAAACTCTCATTCTGCATGCATGAAATCTGGCAATGCTTATAAAATGGAAACTCATAATGTTTTCATAATTAATATTGGCATTCTGTAATTTGAAAAAAAATCAATACCATTTGAGACAGGGAAAAATGGAATCTTATTGAGAAATTTGATATGTAATTAATTATAGGAATGCATGAAATTCTCCCAATCCAGTCTCCTACTACTCAGACACAAAAGTAGAATAAATTAGATGAAAGTAATTAATGGTTCTAATAAATTCTAATAAACACTTTAATCTTATCCAAATGTGGAAAATGAGCATACTTTCATTCATTTTGCGTAGATGTAATTTATCTTTAAAATACTATTAAATCCTTTGTAAAAATAGAATTCAGCTATTGCACTGGAATTATATTTGTTTTTGATGTTCACGTCAGGATATTCAATCACAGTCTATGAATAATCAGATCTCTGTTCCGTATTGCAACTAAGTCTAACTATACATAACTGTAATAGATGCTCATTGGTTTCTCCCTGAGGCTGTGATCTGTCCTCTTTAGTACTTTTAAAAAACACAATGCACATTGATGGTTCCATAAGGTGGAAGATTTAAGTATTTATTTATTTGGGAGCTGCCTAGGGCAGTGGCATGAGCTGGAGGGCTCTTTACTAGTCATGAACAGAAACTGAGATAGTGGATGTTGTTGAATGCATCCCAATCTCTGAGCTTCAGGAGTGCCAGTTTGGTTTTCTTGGAATGAAGGTCAGTGGAGACTGTGGTGTCTTTAAGATATATGGTTTCATTTACACACAGAGAGATATACAACCTGAACATAAGATGGGAGGGCTCATAGCATTAACAATCCAACGGGTTTTGCTTCTCCATTAAGTTTTCAGGTGGGAAGGGTGCCAAAAGACATAGCCATGCATGCACAGAGCAAGAAGCCTCTTTCTTTATATCTTCCAGTCAGTGCTAAACATGCAGCATAGCCCTGGCTATTGTTCTCCTATTCAGAAAAATATGTTGCCTCCAGCCAGATGAAGGGGTGGGGGAAATGTCTATCACTCATCATAGCTCAGTTGTCTCCAAGGCAACATGGCCAGTTGAGGCCATTATCTTACAAAGAGACTGGTTTGACCAGTTTAGCAGATTCCATCTTGTGCAGGCCCCCATTTTGTAGATACACATCTAATCACTACTAATGATTATCTAAGAAAACTCCAATGACAATTTAAGATTAGTAGGCTTCATTTGAATGGTATGGTGTCATTTTTTTCACCTATGCGGGATTTATGGAATTAGGCCTACACTTTCCATAAGCACCAACCCTGTACCTCAGGGTTTTGCACCATGTTGCCGCATGGAAGAGCCATGAGAGCATATAGCTTCTCCAAGCTGACAGAGAAACGGTCAGTCAGGATTGCACATCTCTGGTAAAACCCTATACATATGGCCCTTCAATTTGCTGGTTAATGTGTGGGTCCAAAGGAGCTGGAGTGGCCAGTGCATATGGTGGTGGTGGTATAGGTATGGGCACGGTGTCACTTAAACCCTAATGTATGTGTTTGAGCCTTGTCGTATCTCCTCACTACAAAGGCATAGATCTTGTGATAAAAATCTCCTCTACAAAAATCTATAAGGAAAAAACCCCACCCCTCCTATTCCTACACACACACACACACACACACACACACACACACACAGCTGTTTCCCAGTGGAGCTTCAGGATTATTTAGTAAATGTCACCATATGCATGAAAACATTAGGTAGGTAGCCAACACTGGGCATTTGCTGGTTTTGTTTGCAAATGAAACTTTGTTACAACATGTATTGAGCAAGGATTAATTATCCCTAAATATTCATGTAAACGAGAGAAGAGGAGGTCTAGACATATTGGTACCTGCAGCAGTAAATGCAGACGAAGCTGCATGCATGATGAGAAAAATAAAAATAATCTACCACTTAGCCTCTAAGGAAACCTCAATGTATGCCACTCCGCCTATCTAAAGACAAAGCTGTCCGAAAAGCAAGAGTTAGTTTACACATGGATGTCCTTTATTTTTATGAGATCCATTCATGGTGTTGGAACATTTGGTGATATTGAAGAATACAGGGATTAGAGTTCCTTCTGCAAACCCCCATTTCTCCATTAACACCATTCCCAGGTGCTCACATGGGAGGGCTGGGCTTATGATCCATGTGCATTTCCCCCCCATGCAGGACATTGACAGGGCCCAGATACAGAACTCTGGGATTTAAGCAAACAAAAATCAAAGAAATTTTGATCTGCATAAATATGGAAAAGGTCAAAATGTGCAGGGCAACTATTTCCCTTATGGGGCTGTAATTCACAACTTCATTTGTGATTGTTCTGAGGGATTTGATGTTCAGTCTAGTATGGTGGATCTTCATAGAATTGGAAGGGATCCCCAAAGGTCATTTAGTCCAACCCCCTGCAATGCAGGAATATCAACTAAAGTGTCCATGACAGATGGCCATCCAACCTCTGCTTAAAAGCCTCAAAGGAGGGGGATCCCCAAACCTCCTGAGGAAGTCAGTTGTGCTGTTGAATGCTGTTCTTCATTGGCATTCCTCATCTTCTGTCCTTAACTATGTCTCCATGAATTACTTTAGTTGCTGAGAGAATGCCAGTAATATTCAAACTATGGCCACTGCTGCCTGCACGATATGTTCACAATGGGTGCAAAAAATAATAATGTTCTTTTCCTGTACTGTTAAGTTTTGACCACACTGAGGGGCAGAACCTCAGACCAAAGGCACCAGATTTAGCACTGCAACACAACACGACACCTAGTCATTGGTAAGGTTTGTTACCTGAAATAAAACCACTTCACATGCTGGAAAAAGGGTGGATTGTTGATTTGGCAGTTTATGGGATGGCGCCATGTAAAAGAGCGAAGTGTAACATACACCTAAATATAAAAATCCCCTGCCTTTTAGTTTTAACATATTATGCTAGGACACTTTTTCTTGACAGGCTGCAATTCAATGCCCACTTATCTGGGAGTTAGTAAGGATCTACACCAGACATGTGTAGAATTGCACTTTCAATCTCTCTTGGCTGCTTTGTCCAGAATAGCCTTCTCTGACCTAGGACCCTCCACATGCTGTTGGACTACAACTCCCATAATCCCTGGCCATTGACTAAATTGGCTGAGGCAGATGGAAGTTGTAGTCTGAAAGTTCTAATGGCATCAGGTCAGGGAAGCCTGGTTTATAATACACATTCCATTTAGCAACACATCTCTTCCACTAGCTGCCCTGCATTAATGATCCCTCATGCACACAAATAGAAGGAAAGAACACATGCTGAATGTGTGAAAACACTCTACATTGGGAAGCAAGGTCTTCCATTACTCTGTAAAGGAAGAATGAATGCAAATCTCTTTTCCAATAGGAAAAAATGTGTATTCTATTTAGCAAAAATCATACATGCTGTGGGGGGAAAACTGATTTTTGGAAGAATGGGCAATAAAGGCACCTGCTCTAATCAGCATGTCCAGGCTTTGAATGTGAATTGATAGGCAAGCCTACAATCTCAGCCTTGCATTCTGTCAGCTCATACAGTAGTCTTCTTCTTTCCAGGAGAACAAAAGGAGCTCTCCTTTCCACCAGGCACTGTCTAATTATGTAAGGAAAAAAGTGATTAACTGATTATGATGTATAAATTAATCTCTGAGGAGTTGTATGAATTCAGACATTTCTAATTAGTATGATTTTCATGGGGCATCTCAAAACATCCTCTGTTCCTATTAGCAATGATTAACAGAACAATAAGTAATTTTTGGCAGCTCCTTGCAAAATTATTAGAATCAACCTGGGAGACCTAGATTAGGGATTCACGAGGATTTGCCGCTGATTGATGATGAGGGAATGACAAGTACCAAAGGCCTCCCCAATGAAGGCACCCATGTCTAATGATCTTAATAAGTAGCAGTGCAACTGGTACATTTGCCATCCTGTCAACTACCCTTCTGCTAAATCCAGTGTCTTCATTCAGTTCAATTCATAGTGCAATGGGTACCATGTATCAGATTAGCAGGATATACTTCTGGCAATGTTGCAACCAAGTAATTTCTCTGAATAAACCATTCATTTCTAACCTGTTCTTCAGTGCTAGCAAACTTGGATATGAATCATGTATCATGAATCAAATAATGTAGGGGCTTGGAAAAAAATTCCCATCACACACACACCAGAGCTCCATCACATGTTGTTCTGGAGCAGGGGTCGGCAAGCTTTGTTGGGGGTGGGCTGGTTCACAGCACCACAAACCTCCTGGTGGACCAGAGCGCATGTGTGCGCATGCATGCGCATACGGCAGAGGGGCTTCTCGCTCCCCCCTCCCCCAGTCCACCCGTCCCCCTGCCCACCTGGGGTGCTGCCAAGAGGCAGAGGCTGCCGGCAGCAGCAGCAGTGGAGGAACGAGCAACCCAAGAGGGCTGCTTTTGGGCTGTTCATTCCTCTGCCGCCACAGCCACAGCCTCTGCCGCTTGCAAAGGCACAGGAGCCACACTTGGCAGAGCGGTGGTGGCGGCGGTAACAGTGGTGGTGGCAAATAGCTTGCTCCAATGAGGGGCTGCTGGAAATGCGCTCGGCCGGCTCAGCCCAGCCCCCTTCCTCCTCTCAAACACGCATAGCCACCGTTCACCCATTGGCCAGGGCCTCAAACCTTAGCAGGCATTTGGCCGGTGATTTGCTGCACCAGGAGGAGGGAGGAGGGTGGTGGTTCCGCTGCAGTGATGGAGGGGGAATCCCCACGCCGATCCACAGAACCAGCCATGGGCCGGTTCTGGGAGGCTCATGGGCCGGAACTGGCCCATGGGCCTTAGGTTGCCGACCTCTGTTCTGGAGGGTCCTTCATCTTTTGAAAGCATCTTTGTAGCATACAGGGGGCTATAGTAATGAGGGAGCCAACAAGTCCCATTGTGCAAATCAAGTATTACTTATTTATTTCATAAAATTTATACCCCACACACCTCAAAGCATTTTACATAAATAAAAAGCAGTTTACAAAAAAAGAAGTTCTGCTCATCTTTCCCTGGATCGAAACCAGGGTCATTGGATTATGTAAATAAATCGATGCTTTAGGTGAGATTTATGCATTGCATGGAGCTGACCCCAACACTATGAGTCTATGAAATATTCCCCATTCCCTAACCTCTTCCTCGTGCAAATATTTGCCTTCCAGGATTTGATCCCAAAATTATACTTCTTAACTACAATTTTTGATTCCTGTCCATGTCATATTGTTCATGTATACAAATCTCTATATACACACACAAAAATTAAAAAGTGATCCATGGAAATAGGGATTGTGTGCATAAAATTATTTGCTGGATGATGAACTTAGTATAGTTGCATGGTTCCCTACTTTCCCATGAAGGTCCATTTCTGGAAGAAGTCTTTCAGTGTCTGTTTCTTGGTGAAAGCCCAATGTGCTGGCTCTTGCTTGCATGTGGGTCTGTGTACAATCATGGCACTCAGTTGTGCAGGTGTCCCAGTCATGCACATTCCCTACCTGACAGTAGACCCTTGTGCTTTTGCCTCAGACAACCATGATCAACATGGTCAAAGGAAAAGACATAATGTCAGGGTTGGAGTGAAAAGTGTACCCCTGTTGCTCTAGAGTAAACACAGTAACATACTGCATGAGCAGTATACGAGTAGCGCCAGATTGTGTGCAATTTATATTAATTTGCATTTGTATCCTGTTTCTCTGAGCTTATCACTGATGCTTAAAAAAAACATGCAAAATGCTAGTGACATAGTATCCATTGGGAAGTTCTCCTAAACAAGTGCCATCAAAATAAATGAAAACTATGCAAGACAAAGCACCAAATTTTTAAACCCACCTTCCCAAGCTGCTTATTTGGAGAAAGAAGTCTAAACTTTTCAGAGGGTCGTGCACAGGTCATTGCATGCAGAATATGTCAATTGTTCCTGTATGTTCCACATGTGCAATGGGGAATGAGCACTTATTGCTTCATAGCAGGGTAAGGTAAAGGTAAAGGACCCCTGGACGGTTAAGTCCAGTCAAAGGCAACTATGGGGGGGCAGCACTCATCTTGTTTTTCAGGCCGTGACAGCCGGTATTTGTCATGTGGCCAGCATGACTAAACCACTTCTAGCTTTTTTATATATAGTTGCAGAAAGTTTTGGGGTTTTTTTGAGAAACTATAAGCATGTTAGGTTAACCCATTTCCTTTCAATGTGAGATGAGAGCAGGAACATTTCCATCAGTGAGCATTGCTCTCAGGAATATAGTGTTCACTATTTAAACTATATTACGCACTTGTAAATTGATGCAATGAAGGTCATGTCACTTTCCTGTTGCGCTATCATGCCAGAATATGCAAAGTTATTCAAGAGGGGGGAAATTGCAATGTCTTCAATGCCAGCAAGGAGTTGCCTTGTCAATGCTATTCTGGACATGACTAAAAAGGAATGGCTGAATTGCATTTTTAGCTAGGTTTATTGAAAATAGACATTTTAATGGATGTTGAACTCTGCAGACCTCAAGACTTTATCTTTCTTTAGCTTTTAAACACCACCCTATAATTCAGCACTATCAGCCGCCACCTCTTTCATTTTATCATCCACAGGTGAATACATTTGTTGAAAACATGATTTTCAGGTGTTTTATGCAAGTTGGAACTGTCAGAAAGCACAAAGGAAGAGGGGAATGTATGACAGTTGTTCAAGGAAAGGGCATTTGTAATAGTGATTTATACCATGCTGCTAAGTAACAAAGGAGACCTACCTAAAGGGCAAATCATGTAGTCACTAGGAAAATGTTTCTGAATTTATGATGTTGTACCTAAGTGGTGTTATCTAAAAGTGGGCTCTTGCTCTTATGTTTATCTCAATGGCATGGCTGTCTTAGTGGCATGGCTGTTTGAACCCATACCTGGGGAAACATGAGAAATCAAGAACCATGTGGAAGGAGAACTCTCTTGGCAGAGTCAGCCAAGTCTTCTGATGGTTGTGGTCCTGACCGTGTAATCAGACTCCAGAGGGTGAAGCCATGGATTCAGAGTGGGAGAGGCAATTGCCCTCTGCTGATGTACATCCTAGAGTAACAGCAGACCATTGTGCAAGTGCCTCTCTGGCCAGGGAAGCTTGTGTTGCTCTACTCTTACTCCATCCGAGAATCCTTAGTGAAACACCACTATCTCCCACTCTGTTGGTGTCAACAGCTAAAGAAAAAGCAGGAGCACTTTGAATGGAGAGACTGCTGTCATGGAAGGTGGAGATTTAGCTCTCATTTAAGACTGAGGATGATGGTCATTGAAACAGCACCTTACAGAGCTGCTCTAGGTGCCATTGAAGCCTTGTTTCCATACTGCTGGAGCTGTTGCTCAAAACAGATCAGTTGTCACTTGCCAGGACGGGGAGAGAGAGTTTCCATATGGACTAATAGTCTGGGCTTTTCGCATCAGTTGTGCTGTAGCTCCAAGGCATATTGAAACCCAGCCTAAGGCATGATTTGACAACTCTCATGCAAATACCCAGCTCTGATTAAAATGTGGTAAGTTCTGCTATGAAGCAAGTTCTCATAACACTTGCATTTTAAAAAGCCCTCTTAGATGTGTCATAGGACTTCCCTTTCTTGCTCTTTATTAATATTTTGGAAGAGCGTGGTAGGATATTACATCAACTGCTGACTCTCTGATGACACACCAGTGGTTATGCTGTTTGGAGTGGCTTCCTAAGTTGCTAAACTCCAAAAAGGATTTGTATCTGATAAAGGCAATATGTCTGAGCAAGCTAGGATATTATAGTGTTTTATGTAATTCGTTTGTATCCAACTTCCTTTCAAGGCACTTTACTATCTGACCCAAAGGACTTGGTGACGCTTTCCATTTGGTATATAGAAACCAAGTGGACTGGCAGCTGACACTTTCTTCAACAATGGCATCAAGAAGGAGTTCTCCTCAACACCTGAGAGCAGCAAGGTGTTAAGCACAAGACAGGTCAACATGGTGTTTACAACTCTGTCATCCAACAGAGGGAAATGGCTGGGTAGGTTGCCAGCAGTGTCACTTCAACATCCCCTGCCCGAGGTAGCCATCTTACCCTGCCTTCTGTTTGGGTGCGCCCTGCTTTAATACAACATAAGGCAGTGTATATAGGTGCCCAGATGGAACCCTAAGCTGACCCCAACCCAGACTTGCTGAAAGGTTGGTACATCATGTAAACTACTTAGAAGCCAAATCATTATCATCTTCTTTATCATTATCACCACCCTCAGAACCTGTTCTGGGATGACTCAGAGCCATTCTGAGCTCCTCAAAGGAAGCGTAGAGTGTTATAAAATGAAAACAAACACCTCTGGATTAAGTTACATTTGGTGGAAGTATTCCATTTTTATCTAAAAAAGATTAATGTTAGATCATTGCTACTTTGTTTGCCCTAGCTAAAGGCATTCATATTTACTGAGATTATTCTGCATAGCCTATTGTATTTTTTTTAATGATTTACTAACTGCTATAGCAGAACATTTAAGAGGAGAAAACAGGATATGATCCCCCACAGGTAACCATTGACGTGTTTGTCACTTGACACTAATCTAGAGAGAGGCATTACAAAAGGAGAGTTGACAGATGTACATGTGAGAGCCACGGAAGAACCAGGAGACCTCATTGTTATCGGCACTGCATAATACAATGCAGAATGAATTAATTATGATGATTGCTTAAAATGTACCTTTTTGTGTAATAGCACTAATTATCAGCAACCCTTTACAATGAGTGGGTAATCATTTCTAATTCCTCCAGCATTCATTGTGGTAACATTAATCACGATGAGCTCATTTGGTTTTAATGTGAATATAATATGTGATACCACAGGAATTCTATTGTAATCTAGCAGTAAATAATGCTCACTTACTGCTTGAATGTTAGCAAGAATTCCTTTGTTAGACGGTGAATGCTGGTTGGTATGCATCCTCCCATAGCGTTTGCTTGTTTGCTCAAATGTTTGTTGGAAACGTTTGACGCAGCACAGCCTGCCACTCGTAGCTCGGAGGAGAATTGTGCTTGAGGCCATCTGGAAATTCCATTGCCATTTTGGACCGAGCTGAATGGACAACACTGGCATGCTGGCATTGACTTGGAGAAGTGGCTTTGGGTTCCTTTAAATTAACATGGAATAAAAGGAGGTCTGAAGACATAGCAATTATGACACACTTGTATAGTTATTGTGTTAATTACTATACTGTGGAGTTGCCTTTATGCCTTTATTGGAGAAGGGCCATAGCATCTGCCCTGTTGCATGCAGGAGGTCCAATTCCAAGCATCTACAGTAGGGTTGAGAGAAACCCCTTTCTGAAATCCCAGTGAGCTGCTACCAGTGATTGCAGATAATGCTAAGCTAGGTGGACCAATGGTTTGGCTCAGTATAAGGCAAGTTCCTCTGTTCCTATGACATTGCCAAATCAGAATCTGCCCTATGACAACCATATTTACAAGGCAAACAGATTGAATATTTTATAACTTGTAAAATGAGCATGGGCAGGCATGGTATGGATGCATTTTCCTTCTCAAGAATCTTGGCCAGGAGCTTCCTTGTATTTAATCTACTAATTAAGATAAAAGAGCTCGCCTTCTCACGACATTCGAAAACCACATTCTCTTTTTACTAATAGGCAACACAGATCACCACACACACATTCACGTTATTAATGTTAAGCCGGAGACAAAGGGTGATCAGGTGCCCTCAATCTCACCTACAATAATGTAATACTTCTTGCTTTTTTTGCACTGTTTCCCCTTCTCCCATAAAAAAGCCTGTTTTGTTTTGCCACCCCAAAAAATCCTTGCCATGACTACCTGCCTCTTCCATGAGGTCCCTGCCATGTGCATGAGAGAGAGGAAGGAGAGAATGAGAAGCTCCTCCTGTCTTTTCCTTCATCCTTCTTCCCATTGGTCCTCTAGTTGCCTTCCTGTCCCCTCCCTTTTCTCACTCATTTTCCCATCCTTTTTCCTCAGCTTGTTTTCTTCCATACATCCACCCCTTCTTATTCCCTTCATTCCCATCCCTTCTGTCACATCTTTTCTTAGTGTATTTACTCCTTTTGTGTTTCTCCATTTCTTGCTTTCTCCTCTTTCCACCCCTCTTCTATCCCACTTTTCTCTTTGTGTGCACACTGTTTCTCATCTCCCCGCAACTAGCTAATTCAGGTGGGAATAGTCTTTGGTCTCCCGCATCTTGCTGAACTACTTCTTGGGGCTGATAGAAGTTGTGGTTCAGCAATATCTAGATGACCACTCTTGAGCTATGCGATGGCAGTACTTACTCTCATTGCCTCCATATATATGTCTGTTCATAGGATGTGCCTCAAAGGAAGACCCACATACACAAAGGAAAGCCCATGTACACAACACTCTTCCAAAAAAATGCTTGGTTTTAATAACATGTTGTCTTTCTGCAGCATGTGCATGCATATTACAAATAGGAGAAGGAAAATGTTCAGAACAGGTTTTGTGAAACTTACTTCCTCCGATTCATATGGAAGAGATTCTTGTCACCTTTCATATTTGTGGGTCCTTTTTATTCAGTAACAGATCATATTTTCTTGAGGTATCAGGTGTGAGTTTGCTTGTGTTTAATCTCCTCCTTTAGCTATCTTACACAGTCTCTTACACAGTTTCCAACTGTATCAGTAAGCAGCCACAAGGAATGTTCAGTTACTGAATTTGGATCGCTAGAAGGCTATAAGCACTATCAACATAAATACAGCATACTCAATGGAGCAATCAGGGATCATGGCTATCTTGTGGGCTATGTATCTGATAATGTAGTCAGAATGTACTTTCTGACACCGGTAAGGGCAAGTTAAGTTTATTTAGAACAGGTGTGGGGAACCACTGACCCTCCAGATGTCACTGAACTACAACTGCTGCAAGCCTATTGTTGGCGATGCTTCCTAACCAGATCAACACTTTCAGCAACCCCTGAAGAATGACCAAAAGGGAAGTACCATTTGATGCTTTAAAAAAATGTTCACAGATCAGTGCTATTTTTTTTCATAAGGCAAGTGTTAGAGCTGCAAAGGTTTTCTGTTCATACCTGACAAGCAAGGATGCATTGTTAGTGTGCGAGTATAATCATTGCCCAGGGGTTCCACCCTATACAAAACCCTTGCTTGCACACTTGTTCATAGATGGCAAGACACTGTTAGCAAGGAAGAGATGGACCAGTGCAGGGTGCATTTTTCACTCATTAAAGTCAATGAGGAAACCCCCAATTGATTCACCAGAATTAGGATTGTGCTATAGCTAAGATTCTCCAATGGCTCTGCCGATACAAGCTTCATTAATTTAATGTTCACATGCTGTGTGAGTCCTGAGGGTGGCCTATAAACATTAAATGGTTTATTTCTAGGCAACATCTTTTTGGAAATACAATATTCTCAAATATCATTTTAATCTGAACCCTGTGAATTCCATAGTAAGAAAATGCTTGATTTTCAATTGCCTTTGTACTTGGTGCATGCCTTACCTTGGTGCAGTGATTGAATGCCTTCTCTGTTTTGTAAAAAATAAATAAATAAAAATTCAACAAATGTACCGTAAGTTGCAATATTTGAATTAAAAAATCATTTAGAACACAGGGAATAAAAACAAAACACACACATACCAACAGTTATATTTTGTTTACCCTTGAGTTTCTTCCTGTCATTCTTGATTCAATTCTGGTTCAACAATATATGAGCTTTGCAACAGGGATTGTGAATGCAAAAGAGTTAACAGTGAATGCTTTTCTTTAGTAAGTGAGTGAGTTCACTGTTTCCTATAGCTGCTTCAAAAACCCAAGCAAACCTTAAGTTCCTAATAGGTTATAGTTACAGCTTCACATGCTTGCATCTAATTGTGCTGCTGATCAGAGTAGAATGAACTCACTGATACTAAGAAATAAGAGAAGCAAGGCAAAAGAAAGTCCTGTGTTCACAAAGGAAACCCCATTCCCATAAATTTCATGGAACCAATTGGCTGAAACACATAGCTTAAATATTTCTCCATCCTCTAAACTTTCAAACCAAGTAATGTCATGATGGTGAGCGGAAGGAGAAACATAACTCTTAGATCAGGGTTGGTCATTGTGGTGCCCTCCTAGTGTTTTGTACTACACCCCCTCTCAGCCCCAGACAGCATGGTCAATGTATTAAGAACAATGGTAGTTGTAGTCCACAAAACTTGGATGCAACCATGTTGGCCATCTGTGAGCTAGATAACTAATTTTTGGTGCTTTGGGAAAAGTCCCATCAAAAGGACAAACTTATTCTGCCAGACTCCTGAGTTTCAAGATGCTTCTGAAAGACGACCACAGAACCTGCCCCAGATGGACTATCTTGTAAGCCACCCTGATAGGATTTATCCCAATGGATGAAATATAAATAATTCTCATAAACAATAATAAAATAAATAAAGATCAAGACACTATGCAGTGCACTGTCTTCCATTTCCTCCTTTAGCAGCTGAGGCATATTTTAAAAGGTTGTAGGTCAGCATTGCCCTTTTTTTCTAGAACTAGCATGGTCCTAGCTGTTAAATCAGAGGAACAGAAGCAATTTCATATTTTTTTAAAAGAAAAGAAATACAAAGAAAAGTTTCAGCAATGAGCAATAATAGGGGGAATCACTCCGACTATGATCTTCAGATTAAGAACTGAGGGTATTACAAGCATGATCCTATTTTCATTTGCAAAATGTTGGGAGGCATGTTGATATACAAATTACCAAATGGGAGGCAGATATTAATGGCAATTTATTTATCTATTTTATAGGTCTAAACTTTGCAGTGGGTAACAACAACAAAAAGGCACAGATTGTCCATGATATACTGGATTTATTTAAAAGTAAAGCTATGAATGAGTGCTCAATAAATCTCGTTTCTTTTCTGCTTACCAAATGAAGTTGTTTGGAAAACAGCTGTTTGGGGGGGGAGGGCAGCAGGGGAACACATCTTTTGCAGACTGGTCTAATCCATTCCATCAATTTAGCCCCTTGTAAAGTCACACACAATTATTCTGGAAACAAAGCGAGTACTGTGTCAGATTGCAGGCTATGAAATAAAAAGTGGGTTAATGAAAATACAGGCTAGGAAAAGGAAATAAGATTAGAGGTGACATATTGTTTTCAGCCAAGAGGACTTCTCTGGGTTGTAGCTAGGGGAGGGGGGAGGGAAATCTCCAGCTATTCTGCTTTAGCCATCATATCAAGTCTCCATTTGTTGTGGAATTCAGAAATAATTGTGACCTTAGGGCTGCACACAGCAGCATGAATTAGATGTGGGTAGTCATGAGCACTGTTTTCTTGAGCTACCTGCAGCTAGTGTAGCTCCTTGCCCAAAAGGAAGCTTGGAGTTAAACAAATTCTCTTCAGGCACTTTGGCTTTTAAGTAGTATAAAACTCATCCTTCAATTATTATTTTTTAAGGGACCCGGTACTATTATAGCCACCGGTAAATGACTGGTATTAGCACTCCATTATTTGAAACAGAACAGGCCCCAACTTTGCTCGTGTCCATGTATAAATCATACTTTCCTTAATTGTCACAGCCTGCAGCCAAATTAGGACCACAGATTACAAGCGTGTTTGCTGAAGATATGAAGCCCTTGAAGTCTTTCGTGAAGACATGCCATTGAGTGGAGAGTATGAGATAAACGGGAAATATTTAGAGACGCTGACAATGGGGAGACTTGACTGATTACTAGGGAAGCACAAATACAGGCATATTTTTGGGACTGTACCCAAAGAAAGCTTTCAGGAGTAGTATATTAAACTGCTCTCTTCTCTCTCTCTTTCTCTCTCTCTCTCTCTCTCACACACACACAGAGGTACACTAGCACAAAAATCTACTTAAAGCAGCTTTTACCATCCGGCTGCCCTCCAGATGTTTGGGACTGCAACTACCAGCACATGCTTTGTGGCCATACTAATTACTGGTGAACACGTTTGTACACCACAACTGGTGCCCAAGTTACATTTGGTGTTGGTGTTGTTGTTGTTGTTGCAACAGAAACAAAATTTTGCATCACAGTTCTGAAACGTCATCATATTATTATTTTATTAAGAGCGTCAGTGGCTTGGATCCTAACCAGTGCTTTCCCCCCAAGAAAAACAGGTGCCAGAACTCACCATTAAGCTGTTACATTAAGTCACTGGGCTACTTGAGGCAGCCCTGAACGGATTCCGGTTTGACAATGTCACGGCTAAAAATTATGGCAGGCTGTCTCCCTATCCTAGCTTGTTTGAGGGTTGCTCCTGGTTCTGGGGCAGGTCAATTAAATGCACCCTGCATCCCCCATTCTCTTAGATTCAGGTAGATGGCTAGGACAGCTTGGAAAGACCCTTGCACAGATGTGCGCACATGCAACGGTAAAGGCTTGGCTGGAAAACTTAAAGAACCCCGCCATGACACTGGAGACAGATTGAAGAAAAGGAAATATTAATTGGCCCTGCCCTGTAGCTTGACCAATGGTGGATAAGAGCAACTAGGAGCTAAATGGAGTGATAGATCTTATAAAAAAAAAAGTGTAGACTCGAACACCCAACCAGCTTCCATTTTGACTTGAAATATTCATTTGGGGCTTCTCAGAAGTATGTAAAAACAGGAAGCAGGTAGGGAAAATTCCGGCCCACAATGACGTCCGCCTGAGAGGTACCAGAACTGTACTCTGACATATTCCATCTGAAAACACACACAATTAATCCTATCTAATTTCTGCTGGTGGAATTGTTCCCTGAGCATAGTTCTGGCCATGGAATACTGCCCTTGGTGGAATGGGGTCTGTCCACGCCCCAGCCAATCAGTTCTGGGAGATTGGGGGACCATCTAGAATAGGATGAGAAGCAACGCAGTGGGGTTAAGGGGGAAACTGGCAAAAAATGCCTATCTCCTTTCTGTTGGAGGATCTTCCACTGGATCACAGTTCCTCCATGAATGGAATGAATAGTTCTATTTCCAAGCACCTAGTTAGAAGCCAAGCAATTATGTTTGTGTTTCATGCTTACTAAACTATCACCGGGAATGTCATAGAATCTTCTGCAATTGATTTTTGAAATGTTTCTGCATTTTTAAAATGATCTAACTATTTTATTTATTTAAAGTGTGAGTCTACCCATCCTCAAGATTTTGTGTAGGTAAAAATACCTTGGAAAGAATTTATATCAAATAACAAGTCAGATACATAAAACATAGCAGGTATTTATGCCTCCTACAGTATAACCTTTAGCAACAAGAAACTAGCACATACAAAAGTGATCTTAACAATAATTTCAAAAGATATTCATTCTCGGGCTTTGGAAGGTCTTCCAGAGAAAGATGTGCCAAGTTTATGATGTAGTTATTAAAGACTCTTTTTCTGTGTTGTTCAGAAGTTAGATCAAAGACACTTGATTTCATCTTTTGCAGTAGCTCTAATGTGCCAGTATCTGGATTAGGGCCAGCCTGGATTTTATTACTGTTGAGACTCTCTACAAATTGGACTTGGTCAGGCAGGTATGAAAGGTGCTGGAAGGCTTAACTTTGCATTTTCTTTTCTACTGGAATTGTTTCAATGAGACTTGCTTCACTTTACACTGGCCATCTTTCTGTGTCTTTCATGTTTTCCCAAAGAACACTCTACTGGTGCACAGATGGAAATTTTAAAGACAGTATTCAAGGATGGGCTGAGCAACTAATTTTGTCCCATTTTAGTCTCACTGGCATGTCTCTGTAGCACGTCTTTACTATAAAAGAAACACTTTTCAGTGCTTTTTAGTGCATTCTCCAGTAAAATAAGTATACCACATGCAACATTCATGTAAAATATAAAATATATAAAATGTAAAATGTAAAAATACATATATGCTTGTAGTTTTTGCACACAGAACACGAATTGCAAAATTCAGAAAAATGTGTAATCCAATTGTGACTTGTGTTCCAATCTGCAAGAAAGTTCAAAAGTTTCAGACCAGGTCGCTCAATTGCAAAAATACAAACAAGCAGAATTCTCCTTGAAAGTTGATGTATTGTGGGGTGTGAATAGACTGAACAGAAGGGAGCCTTCTCTCTCTCTTTGGAATTTGGGTTCAGCCTATGAAGTACACTTTCAGTAGCCTCAGAACTGAAAAAAGACAATATATTTCTTAGCACAATCCAGCTAACTTTATGGATAGCCATCATATAAAGATGACAGTGATGCTCACCTGGGAAATATGGAAACTAATAATGCTTGTGTCAAAGGATGGACATCCGAGAGCCCTGAATTATTCTTGGATTATAATCTGAGTTGGGGAAGAATATACTGCTAATCCCTTCCCATTTACCTAGCCCTTTGATCCCCATATTCCCTTTACTTAAAACCGTATTTACTTGGCCTGATAGACGGGAGTCACAGTAGTGCCCTGGCCACCAAAATGGAAGCATAGAGGTCTTTTCCTCCCTGGAGCACAGTATTTTGACAGGCGGGCCCAAGATCCTGATAACCTGCAGGAAACCCTAGCCACCACCTGGTGGCCTCCTCCTTCTCCCCATGGCTCTTCTTTTTCTTCATTATAAGATAAAATATCTGTGATTCACACACACCCTAAGAGAAACATCCAAGTCTGCATATCCAGTATCAAAATCCTCAGTCCATGGCTTGATTATTATAATAGCAACAACAATAACAGCTTCTTTGAGTGTTTACAAAGAAAACTGTATTGCAAAATTTACGTCATTCACCTTGCTTTATAATGTGTTGAGAATGTCTGCCACAAGCAACAATACACTGTAAGAAAGGGGACATTAAACATCAACTATCAATTGATGTGTCTGTTTTCCCCCCATCACTGAATTTATTGTTGTTGCCTATCGTATTTAGTTCCATGTGTAAGTTGGAAGATGCTTAGAGCATCTACTGAGATGTTGTATTTCCCCCTTCCCCCAAAAAACATCATATTGGCAAGGAAGAATCATTCCTGAGATTTCTTTATGATTTTTATTCCTTCAAGAAAAAGAGACAGATATACGTCGAGTCACAATGATTGTCGAAGGCTTTCAAAAAGTAAAAGGCTGTTCAGTGAGTAACTTTCATGTTTTCAACTTGGCAAGTGCTGCAGTCAAAGGGAGACCTTATCCATTTTCTTCAGAGCTCTATCATTAGCTCTTCATCCCTGGTGACATTTTGACATGTCATCGTTTCTGTGATCTGAAGTATGTATCCATTGATTTTTCAATCATTCTCTATTAAAGCCAACAAAAGAGATTTAATGATCCCATTCAATCAATCCCAGAAAAATAGCCACCAGTTTCAATCCCATTAAAGATCCATACTTTTTGTTGTTGTTTGCTTTCTCTTGAATTCCTAGTAGATTAAAATAATAGATGCTTCTTTGGAAATGGCAAAAGAGGTGTTGAGCTTTATAAGCCAGAGGCAGTACTTTCGACTAAGAGAATGTTAGTGCATAAAGCCATAAGAATTCATGATGGATATGGCTACGAGAGTCATGGGTTCAGTCACTATCCCTTCCAAAAGTTCAAATGAAATTAAGCACACAATATTATGTCATAGCATGTGTCTGTATTATACTATTCCTAAAAATGAAAGGCCTGGAACCTCCATCCCTCTCCCATCAGCAGACTCCATATTTTTAGATTCTGACATTCATAGAGCTGCTGTTTCCTAATGATCTCACATTCTTTCTCTTAAGATGGCTCCCCTTGTTTGGTGCTCTAGCCTATAGTACAATACTTTCTGTGATTTTGGAGATACCAACAAAGGTTGGCACATTTCAACCTGTTCTGACTCCTTACTGTGCAAATGTATCTCCCTGAAAATGTTAGGTTATAGGCATCTTCCAGTCTTCCCATTCTTATAGCTTCCAAGATATACAGTAATGAGTCCACTAGCTCAGATTTCATTATATTTATTTATTTGCATTCACAGAAAAATAACAAGGTGCTGTAGATCATGAAAAAAATGGTGCTACAATAAGAGCATCAATATAAATGTATTGCTATCCTACAATTATATGCCAATTTCAGTAGCAGTATAAACATATATAGCAAGAGACAGATAGTGAAATATTATTTGCTGAACAAGTTAGATATATCTCATGCCTGCTCAATAAGGAAGGTACCACAACTGTAAAAAATGAACATTTTAACTAATAATATTGATGGATCATTTGTAAACAGAAAGGGAATTTGGAAAACAATCATTTTTGCACTCTTTTGCAATGCAGATTAGATGAACAACACAGGGCTATGCAGACTGGGGAAAATGGAGGTGAGAATGTCTTAAGTTGAAAGCAGTGGTTTCAAAATTAAAGGACCTGCCCCAAAAGACAGTAACAATAATGTAGTGAGCGGCAGATACTGGGAGTACTTTTGGATAGAATTTCTATTCAAGGCTTTAAATTATGTGTGTGCACATGCACATATCTCCCACCTTAATGGAGGCATTTTAGCATTTGACATGTGCCCTATAGGTGAGATTCAAAGCATGCGAAAAGGTCCACTGCCTTTTTGGACTGTGAAAGCTAAAAGCATTTATTCCGGCACTGCCTTGTTGACTCTAATTGGGGCCTGCTTGCAGTAAGAACAACAGGGGGAAAAATCTGTCCTGTTGTTGACAGCACAAGGGGAAAAAACAAAAACAAAAAACATTAGCCAGTTTTTCTTCCAGGAACCATATTATTCCCTATTTTATGCAGTTGTCTGTATCTCTCTCTTCATTCTAGTTGGATGCTAATGCATTGATATTATTCCTGAAGCAAATATTATTTTGTATTCTTTGTAATGGACCCTCACATGCACAATATTTCTGCATATTTCATACGATCTGTTCTGTTAAAATAATCATTAGCCTGCAGTGCAATGATAATAATTAGAGCTGTGTAAATCCCTGCTAATTCAGCCCTGTGTGTTCTGTGGCACATTTTATTTTATTCATTATTTTGCCCAAGCTTTGCATCCTGTAGGTTGGATTATGGGTTTTTGTTGTTTTTGCAGTGGTGAAAACTGTCCCCCTAAGCTTTGTTTTGATAGGGTTTGGAAAACGTGTTCTCCTTCATGGAGAGCACGTGTTGCGGTGGGGGCCGCCAGGACACTCCAAAGTTGTGGGTGGGCTAATTGTTTGTTGGCCGCTGATGCGATTGGGGCTTCCCTTGTTGTTGGGAAGAAGTTAATGTTGCCATTTGTTGATTGATAGCCAGAAATGCTAAAACTCCTTGCACGAGGCTAGGGCTTCCTCTTTTCGACCGTGCATCAGATTGATCACAGTGAAGGGAGACGGTTGTATTTTTCTACTAATTACCTTGTGTCTTTGGCCTGCTTTAACTGTGTTAGCTTCTATTTAATTGATATTTTAGTCCTATTAAATTTTCTTTTTTCTGTGTAATATTTTCTTTTACTTTTACTCTGCTTTCCCACACCCCTTTTTGGTCTTTAATTCCCCCCTACTCCCCCCTCCCCCTCCTTTAGCTTACCTTAACATTGGGACTTCTAATTTGGTGACAGGCCTCTCCAAGGCCGGTTTTCTTTAATTCATTGCCCCGGCTGCCCCTTTTCTGCCAGTCCCGGGTGAAGGGTGGGCCTGGCTGAGGGCGCAGCGGCCTCGACCTGGCCTTGGGCGGCTGTTTTTAGGCCTTTTTCGGAGGCGCCTGGTGCTGCACTGCGGCGGGGAGTGCCTCCGGCCTTGCCAGGCCAGTGAGCTCCCCCCCCCCGCCCTATTCCTTAAAGGGCCGGTTTCGGCCTTGTTAGCCTGGCAGGCCTTCCCTGCAAAGCAGGGAGGCCTGGTGTCTGCCAGGGCTGCAGGGAGGCAGGCGCGGCCTAATTGGGGCCTGGGAGCAGGCCCCGTTGTGATCACCACCTTCCCTGCTTTTTGGCGGGAGCGCCATTTTTGAGGCCTAGTTTGTTCTGAGGTACTGCAGCGCTTGTTTTTATTGCATTATTTTAGGTTGACATTGCAGCCTGTGTACTTTAATTGTAAAGAAAATATTTTAGAGGCGAGCCATTGTGGCTTAGTGGCTAGAGTGCAGGACTAGGTCCTGGGAGACAGGGTTCATAGCCCTCACTTAGTCATTGTTATAACAAAACAAATCAAAATAAATTTGGGTTTCTTGAGGGGGTGCTTCCCTCTAAAAGGGCAAGCAGGGGTACCTGGACAGGCGGTGGGCTGCCTCAAGTCTGTTATCTCATTGGAAACATTTATGTCTGGCCTAGCAGGTGATCCTAGGGCTTTGCTCGAGAATTTGATGGCCTCTGGCAGCGATTCTGGCCTGGATAGCGTCCCCATGTAGTGCACGAAGGATTGGTTTCACTGGTTCCTCACATTGTTTAGTTTTTTGCAGACTATGGCAGGGCCTTTGCAGATGCCTCCAGAGCTTGTCTCTCCTGCAGAGGATGACTTGCTGATGCCCCAGGTGACTTCTTCTGGAAGAAAGCATCTTCAGAGGCGGCGATCCAGGAGGGGAGGGCAAAGAAGAGCAGAGATGATTCTTACACTTCCTCACAGGTACTTCATTCTTGGGCTCTGATGACGATTCAGGCGTCACCTTGGACCTCTATGGGGTCAGGGTGAGGCTGTCCCAGGTCTTTAAGGATCATCCTGGTTAGCTCAGCGGGTCAGCATGTGATGCCAGTAATGCCTAGGCTGCAGGATTGGTCCCTGTATGGGACAGCTGCAGGCTCCCCCATCGTTCTACCTGGACAGAAGCCTGGTTGCAGGGGGCCAGGCAGAGGGCCTTCTTGGTGGTGGCACCTGTCCTGTGGAGAGCCCTCCCACCAGATGTCAACTACCAGACATTTAGAAGACATCGGAAGGCAGCCCTATTTAGGGAAGCTTTTATTGTCTGATGCATTACTGTATTTTAATATTTTGTTGGAAGCCACCCAGGGGAAGCCCAGCTAGATGGGCGGGGTATATATTTTATTATTATTATTATTATTATTATTATTATTATTATTATGGAGTGGACTAGAAGATTGTTGGTGTCCCTTCCAACTCTACGATTCTATAAGTAGCAATTCACTATGATGGGAATGTTAGACCCAGGGCTGCCATCATCCCCACAGCTTGCTGGGATCGCAGGGATGGGGACGTGTGGACCACTTGCGCAGCTCCACATTTCAAATGGAAATTCCCTGAGCAGTAGAACCTGAAACTGGTGTGCAGGAAGCTGGCCCGGCGGCAGCTTTGTTGTTTAGGGGGTCTGGACAGCGTCAGCCCTGTAAATTCACACATCATGGTGGCAGCACAAGACGCCCCCTGCCCAAGCGGGGGCTGGGAGCTGACAAGCAATAGCTCCTTATCTCTGGCCCATATTCTCATAAAATTATCTCCCTTGAAAGCCTGGCTAAAAGGTTATCTAGATGGGTCAGCGACTTTGTGCTTGTGGGAAGGGTTTTCTCAAGGTTTAGGATTCCTCTGGCTTTTCAGCCAGTGGCTCGGAATACAGCAAATCAAAAGTCAGAGAGCCACCTAAGGTAGCCAGAAAGAAGGTTAGGAAGCAGCTTGCATTGGGACGTATGGTGGGACCCCTAAGAAAGCCTCATAGAATTCCATCTGATCCTTATTTATCGCATCCCAAAGGCACCTCAGTGAATGACGCTATCCTTAAGGAATTGTTCCGCGAAGTTCACATCTTTGGAGCAGGCGGTTGAGCTTACTACAAAATTGGAAGAGGTGCCTTGTTGGCAATATGCTATATTGAATCGGCTGTTAGGCTGCTGCTGGTTCACCAGCGAGATTTTAAGTGGTTGGGCTTAAATTTGGATGGGGCTCCTTATATTGATAAGGCAATGCCGATGGGTTGCGCAATAGACTGTGCAGCACTCCAGTCCTTTAGTGCCTTTCTGGATTGAACAGTGCAAGTCTATACTCATTTAACTGGGGGTACCATTTTTTGGATTATTTTACTGGCTGGTTCATGTGACACCAGCCTCTGTGTAGGCTTGCTAGACACCCTTTATTCCTCTGAGGAGCTGGGTGTTTCATAGGCAGTAACGTATTTGGGGGTTAGCTGGATACCGTTGTTCGAACATCTGCTTGCCTGTGGTGAAGCTGTTTGCCTTCAAGGAAGTTATTCTTGTTATACTTCTTCTGAAGCAAGCGTTGCTTTGTCAAAGCCTATCATTTGCTAGGTCAGTTAAATTTTGCATGCAGGGTGGTTCCTCCAGGCTGCCCCTTCCGTTCCTGCTTGGCCAGGTTGTCTCATGGCCTGAGGTCCCTTCTTCATCATGTACACTGGCCTTGAGCCTGGCAGGGCAAGCCAATCATTATTTAGGGATCCAGATGGATATTGTTGCTCAAACATACCGCTTGCCTATGGAGAAGCTGTCTGCCTGGAAGGAAGTTATTTTGTAATACTTCTTCTGAAGCAAGTGATGCTTCATCAGATCCAATCTTCCTGGGTCATTTAATTAAATATTGCATGCAGATTGGTTGTCCCAGGCCGCCCCTTCCGCTCCCACTTGGCCAGGCTGCCTGCAGCCCGAGGTCCCCTTACCTTCGTGTACGCTTACATGGCAGGATACCTTGAACCTGCACAGCGATTTTCAGGTTTGTGCTGATGCTGCTGGATCTTTGGCTTTTGGTTTTTATTTCAGGGGCTGCTGGTGTGCAAAGCCATGGCCTCAAGCCTAGTGTGGTGAAGCTATCATGTGACCTAACTTTGCTTGAGTTTTTCCCATTGTAGTAGCAGTTCACATCTGGACCAGGAGTTCAGTGACCGTCGGATCTGCTTTTGGTCTGATAACCAGGCAGTGGTGAGCATCTTGGCAGAACAGTCCACATGCTCCAGCAGAGTCTCCGCCCCTCCGCTCACGCTTTTGAGCTGCACTGCTTAAGGTTTAATATTGTGCTTGCTGCTCACCTGATTACGGGATCCTCTAATGATATTGCTGACACTCTATCCCATTTTCAGATGGAGTGCTTCAGATCCTGGGCTCCAGACACTCAGCTATTGCCGGACTTTTCTGGACCACCTGTTGCACTTTGACAACAATTAGTAATTACAGGGAGTAGCAGCTTCCATTCCCCTTCTGCTTTTAGCTCTTATGAGAAGGCCTGGACTGATTTCTGAGGGTTTAGTTGACAGCCCTTGGCCTTTCAGAGGAACTTGCCTCCATACGCAGAGCAGATCCTGCAGGATTTGGCCCACCTGCTGCAGATTGGATGTGCTGTAAAAACTATCAGAATTCAGTCCGCTGCAATGTCTGTTATAGTGAAGCTTAATTTTTCAGAGACCCTTGAAAAAAGTTTGTCATGCACAGGGCCTTGGACGGTTGGAATAGGCTCCAACTTCATAGGATGGTGCACCTCTTCCAATTGGGCAGAGTGGCCAGGACGCTCAGGATCCAACCGGCGGCCATTTCCTTTTCCTGCAAAGCCTTTTTTAATAAAGACCCTTGTGCCAAATTTGTGGTGCGCAAGGCTGTGGAAGGCTGGGGTAGGCTGGGCACTCTATCCCCTATGGTAAGGAAGCCTATAACTTTTGATTTGCTGACCAGCATGCGCTCAAAGTTGAGGAGCATTTGCTGGTTCAAATATGAAGCACGGCTTTTTTCAGCCGCCTTTTCTTTATCCTTTATTGGCGCCCCGAGGGTAGGTGAGGTGGTACTGGAGTTCACCCGTGGCAGAGAATCAAGGGGACTGCTTTTGCAGGACATAACTCTATCCCCTTCGGAGGTGGTCCTGTTTATCCGGAATTTGAAGACAGACCAGTTAGGCAGGGGTGCCACTCTTAGGCTGCCTGCCACTGGGAATAAGGGTCCTTGCCCGGTTAAGGATACCTCCAGGTATTTGGATCTCAGGCCATGGGGGGAGGGTCCATTCCTTATTCATGAGGATGGTGCCCCGTTGGCTAGGCATCAATTTGCTAAGGTGATGCGGAAAGCGATTGCAGCTTGTGGTTTGAAAGCAGCAGGTTACGCCTCTCATTCTTTCTGCAATGGTGCTGCCGCTACAGCAGCTCATTGGGGACTGTAGAAAGAATTAAGAACATGGGCCATGGATATGTGCATAGACATCGTTGATCACCCATACTTATATTTGCTTGTCTTCTCTTAGGTGTGGCTGCTGTTCGCATTGTGGGCCACAGCATTGTCTACTGGGCCGGTATCAGAGCAAGGGAGTCTGGACTTGGACTCAGTCTTGGCTTTCCTCAACACGCGCAAGTGTCTTGGCTGTCCAGGCGTGGAATGCTGTGGGCCGAATTGCTTCCCCTTGTTCCGAAGCATGTGAGGTTGGAGGGCCCCCCTACAGCTATCGTGCTGCAGTTAGTGGGAAATGATCAACTTGCCACGGACTGTTGTTATTTACATTTTGCAGTTCAAAAGGACCTGGCTGAATTGGCAGAGTTTTTGCCGGGTGTGAAAGTTTTTGGTCCCAGTTGCTGCAGAGACGCATCTGGCGTGGCAGTCGCTGTCCAGCCGCCACTGACGGAGCCAGAAAGCATGTTAATAAGGTGGCAATGAAAGCAGTCATTGCTCATGGTGGTTCTGTGATTGCACACCCGATATCACCTTCAAGGCGGCCGTCCTTTTCAGGGACGATGGTGTGCATCTTTCCCCGTTGGGAAATGACACATGGTTAAATTCTGTTGTGTGGGTTTGAAGGTGGGGCTGCAGTTGTGAGTGGTTGGTGGCGAGCTTGAGTGCTCGGTGGCAGTTAGGCATTGGTTTATGGTTTGGTTGGTTGAGGGGAAGTGGTTGAGTGCCTGCCCTTGGTAGGTTGAGTGCCTGCCCCTCTAATGCTGCTGCTGCAAGGGATTCCGTTAAAGGAATTGGGGGCTAACTATTGCTTGTCCACTCTGTCAAGGGGGCTCGGGCCATAGCAATGAGCTCCTGGTTGCATTTGGGGTGAGGGCAGGTTCCCTGCTCCGCGTAACCCCCAAGTGTATTCCCCTATTCTGACTTTCACATCGTGCGGAATGTCAGTCTGCCCCCATGGTGGGGGCAGATAGTCGCAACCAATGCCTAAGCAACCACTCACAAATTTGTATTTCAATAAAGTTGTGGCCAAAATTATGCCAAAAATCTTACAAAAAATTCTGTGTGATGTGTGAGTTATTGGGGTGGCCCTGGGGACCTCGACACGCAACCGAAAGTCCTCAAAATAAGAGTCAGCTGAAAGCAGCAAGGTTTGCTTACTTACTCCTGGAAACCATAAATCTTCTCACTTGGTGCCTGGCCTTGTATCACTTGAAACTCAGCCAAACCTCACAGAAATATTCATGAAGGCAGCCAGCCTTCTCTGAATTACATGTTCATAAAACAGCCTGGAAGAAGGTGAATTCACCTGCTACCAACAACGCTATAACGTGAGGCACATCTTACCTTCTTTTTCTTCTTCTATTTAAAAAGGACTGTTGTGGAATTTTAAGACATATTTATAGTGTTATAAGTTTTCATAGGCCAGGCACATTTCATGAGATGCATGAAATGTCATCTATAGGGGAACATGGGAAGCTGCCTTTACGAAGTTAGACCCTTAATCCATCTTACTCAGTATTGTGTAGTATACAGTGACTGGCAGTACTTCTCCTGGGTTTCTGACAGGGGTGTAGGGAGGCAGCAGCGATTCCCATCCCATCATGTGCTCATATCAGCCAGCACTCTTTTAATTCTGCTGCAGTTTGGCTTCTGCTAAAACCTATGTACCTTGTTTGTCATGTCAACTGCCGGAGCCAAAACTAATGGCATTAATAACACAGTTCATTTCCATATGTTTAAATGGAAGAGACACATCAAAAATCATGCAGAAAATAATATAATCATTTACATAATGTTTGTGGACTAAATAAACCTTGGCAAATACTGCTCATATTTGCTTGCCTGGTTTCCTGACCACCTATGAACATGCAAATTGTGGTCATTTTTTGCTCCCGTTTCTATTTTTGACAGAACATGAGACCATCTGCAGATGCTATGCCTCTTGAATATGATTAATATAATATAATATAATATGGAGAATTGTTTAATTTTTGTTCAAGCTACATAAGACACTGTAATTGCTTCGTGTTGCTTTCTCTTCTCATACCTTTAATGTAGTCCTAATAGTCACTTTGCAATTTTGCACTTCATTTTTGCACCTCGTTAAAGCTATCACCCATGGCGCTGGTGCATTTGTAAATATATTCTTCACATAGGAAACAGTTTTCCCAAGCAAAGGAAGCTGCAAGAAGCATTTGAGCTTCATCAAACGTCGACTGCAAGGCCCTCATAGCCATTGGTTGTCATCAGCTGCACATGCTAATGTGTTTATCTCAAAAAGGGGAGAAAAGAAAGGGGGTAAAAGCTGCATCCTTCCAAGATTAAGCATCTCTGCTGACTGACTAGCCAGTCCTGTCTGAAGGAAGAACAAAAGATCCCCCTGAACTAGCATGACATTAAGATGACAGTCCTTATCTACCATTGTTAGCTCAAACATGGGAAAAGTGTTGCTTTGAGAATTCCAGAAGGTACCGGATGTGCCACAGCTCAATTGTTTGCAAAGGCCAAATTGAAACAAGCTATAGTTTTTGGACTACTTAGTTATACACCAGTGACCAGAGAATTGCAGACATGTCTCCTAGCGCACCCTATCTTCTGAAGCGTATCCTCTAGACTATTATGCATTTGAACAATGACTGTTTCCCACCCCTAAAATAAAGGGGAAGTCTGAATGCACTGCATATTTCAAGCTAATATTGTTCCTTTGGCCATTTAAAGAATAATGGTTGAAATATAAAGGAGCTCATTCATTTCATTTAGGCAAGAGCTGTTAGTAGGATTTTCCAGCCCACAAGGCAATGTATATCTCTCATTTGCTGATATATATAAAAAAATAAACCTGTTATGTCTCAGCACTTGTAAACTTTATGGACACGGTTTCAAATCTCAGTAGCTATTTAAGATGGACCCTGTAATCCACATAGGCATCTTTTATTCTAAAGCAGTACTAACGTGATTTTTTTTAAAAAAGTGGTCATGATTCTTGCAACGTTTAGTATTTTGTAGTCTGGTTGGCTCCAATCATATTTCTCCAGGGCAAAATGTTAGATGGCTCCCACTCTGGAAGAATGGCAGATGAAGGTAATCGAATATATGGAACTGGCGGAGATGACTGGCAGAATCCGTGACCAGGGAGAAGAGTCGGTGGAAGAAGATTGGAAGAAATTTAAAGTCTATCTACAGAAATACTATAAAATTAATGAATGTTAAATTGAAGTCTGATTGAAAATAACTGGTATTGGCAAAAGCTTTGTGATTAAGAGTATGGAATATTTGATGGATAAGGTTGTAAAAATATTTATATATAAATAGATTAAGTTTTTTTTGAGTCAAGATAATGAAAGGAGGGTAAGGATTTGCTGAAAGGAGTTTTTAAATGGAAGTGCAAGCGGGGAGATGCGGGGAAGTCAAAGAACTAGGTAAAGATAAGAAGGCTAAATGAAAGTATAAATATCTTTTAAATTTTTCTGTTTCTTTTCTTTGTTTTCTCTTTTCCTTTCTTGTTATGGATATTGTCATTTCTGTTTGTTTTTTGTCATGGTTATGGTTGTTCTTTGTTTGTTGAATTTATGTAATTCTGTATTTTTTGGAATCTTTTTTTTTGTAAAACCAATAAATATCTTATAAAAAAAAAAAACAAAATGTTAGATGGCTGCAGCTGTACTCAATTAAAAAAAAGGAAAGGGAAAGTGGGGGAAATGGATGCATGAAAGGCTCTACACTGAGCAGAAGGAAAATGATGGTTCTAACAATGAAGCTTTTTCAAGTCAAGGCTTTAAAACTTATAAATAGTACAGTAACACATGGCATGTAGAGGCAAGAAATGTTTGCCACAATCCAATGTATCTACACTTCTGGCTGTAAACCTTTTGACTCGGATATAATGAACTTGCAATAAAATACATGGGGAAGTTCAAGGTCTGTTTGCAGCCATAAAATTCATCAAGGAAACTGGATGGATGTAATCTTCAAGACAAAACCAGCAAAACTCTGACACAGTCACACTTTTGAGTTAATAATTTGGACGAGAGACGTGAGCGGAAGCAATTCCCTAAAGCTAGGCAGTAGGAACAATTGCAGCGGTGTTGGACTGAATAAGGCTTTGATATATGAGGAAGATACAGCTGTGACATTTTATATTGTCATAAAGTCAAGTGGCTCTCTATGCTGCACAACTCAGAGTGGCTTCAGTTGACTCACTTTCCATGTTGACGTGGCTGTTTGCAGTTATTCTAAGACAAGAAATTCAGTTCTCTGGATACAGAAGATGGAGGGTGGCTAATAAATATACTAATGACATGCCTGGCATTATGGTCTGTCTATTGCATGGCTGCTTCTTTGATTGATTATGAATATTTATTATAAATTCTTAAGAGCTGAAGACCCCATTTTGGTTTGTCCATGAGTTTTTTAAAAGCCTCCCCGCCCCACCCGCTTTGTGCTATATTCTAGTCCAGTATACACTCCAAACACCTCATAAGTAGAACGCTTGAACCAGCTCTCAGAAAGGTCTGTAAAACTGCAGACTAAACCATAGATCTAAATTCCAAATGAAGGACTAGTATGATGGGACAAATGTGGGGGCTTCACTGTAAAATCTGACACAATGGGAAAACTTCCAGAAGGAAATAACAAAGAAATCAATAGAAATCCTAGTTAAGGAAAGCACATCTAGATCAATGGAGAAATGTGTGGCTTTTTTGTTTTTTGTTTGCTGAATGGGCAGATTGAAACCCAGAGCAGAATGGATCAAGTTAAGAATTTGCAGGGAGAAATTGACTGTCATATGAAAATACAATACTATCAGAAACAAAGGATGCAAAAAGATGGAACACAAGGCATGTAGGTGGGTGTTTATGTGTATATGGGTATGATTAAGAGACAAGTAGGAAGGAAAAGAACCAAAGAATATGAACAGATTAAAGATATGAGGCAGATAATGTAAGACGGCAGGAGCTATTGATTTCAAAGGAGGAACAAACTTAAAAGAGGAAACCACAGAGTGCGAAGAGTAGAGAACACAGCCAAGGTCAATGGAAGAAGGGAGGGGAAACAAGCAAAAGGATGCAGAAACCACTGAAGAGAGGGAGAAGAAGGAAGTAGGGAGAGATGGAAACAAAGCAAGTAAAGTTATTGGTAATGCACTGAGGAAAACTAATGTTGAGGATTAAGGAAAACTGTTAAGAAACTGGCCCAGGACAGGCACATAGTCGCATACTACTGGGACCAACAATGGCAATGAAAGAGATAGCTGGAAGAAGAACCATGTTTCCGAAATTAATATTGTTTGGATCTGGCAAAATACTTTATTCCCCTGAATAGATTTGGTACCTCAAGGCTTCTCCTGCAGCAAATGAATAACAACTGAGCATTTCTTGTGGAATGAATGAATGAATAAATTGATCATCTGGGAAGACTCTCTGACATTGTCCATATGACAAAAAGCATCAGACAACAAATTAGACAAATTCCTTTCCTCTAAGTCCCTGTTATACACCAGAGACACAAAAGAGTGCCTGGCTAGCGTTTGGCTCAATGAGATTGTAATGCCACTTGCTTTTTACTTAAGAAGTTTAGTTTGAAAGCTTTTCAAAATGAGATGATCCTTACATGTGATAAATCTGAAATGAATGTGAAACGAAACTCAAAAACTGTCCACTTCATTTGTACCCTAAACACAAAGACTACTCCTTGACTACTGTCAGGGAACTGACATCGGAGCTAGAAGCGGAGGGAAGGCTCTCAAATGATGCTGGAGAAGGGCCCAGCAGGGAGAGAGGCAGCTCCGCAGATGGGGAAGCAAATCAGCGCAACACCAGGGATAAAGAGGGGCTGATGGGGGAATCGGCGAGAGGGCTCCAGGACTCTTCACCGGACACCAGCGGGGAGAGCACGGGTCCCCCGCTACCCACGCCCACCCTGCGCAGAAGACTTCCGCGCAGAGAGAGTAGGAGGAGACTGGGTGTCAAACAACTTTTATGTTGGAAAAGATTTAAGAAACGCCCACTGACGGATTCTGCTAGCGACTGAGGCAGCCACGAAGTGAAGGGCTGCCC